GAATAAATTTGATTTGATTTAAATTCGCTTATTATACCTGAGTAACGATAGCGCGCGCGATTCGCGCACATCGAGTGGGGAACCAGCCTGCTTGGGCATAGAGACTCGGATTCAGAATTCAGTATTAAAATAATTCATTCAAAATCATTAGACTAGCTTGAATTCATTTTTCCGACCTCGTAAAGTCTGCTTCGATATACGCTGTAAAATCATTGCCGAGACCGTAGTTAGGTACACCGAATTAAAGTTTACGTTTTTTTTTGTCGACGGTTCTTGAGCTAAACGTTCGAATACCAGTTTTATTAGATTACATTATTCCGTTTTCGATTTTATTTAATAGAAATAATAATTGACTTTAGATTTTCGTTAAAATATTTTGATTTTCAGATAAATTATTTAGTTTTGATTTTATTTAGAAACATTGGAAATTAGTTTTGGTTATTAGGCAGTAGAAATTTTGTTTCTATTTCATTAATTACTTAATTTTTATTGCGACCGTGGATTGTGTTTCTATTTTAGAGTAATAGTAAACCTAAATTTAAATTAAATTCCGTATACAGTTAATTACTTAATTTTCATTGCGACCGTGGATGTTGTTTCTATTTTTAAGTAATAATAAATTTAAATTAAATTCCGTATATAGTTAATTACTTAACTTTTACTACGACCATAAATTTTGTTTCGATTTATTCACAATCTGGTTTAACTTTTTTTTTGCATTTATGTTTCTTTACTTGGGAATAGAATTAGTTCGAAAGTTGAAATAGTATCATTTTTCATGTTGAGTGGACTGGTTTTGGCGAGTACACTCAGTAGGCGAGTTCGGATAGTCAGGGGCTGGAGCGGGACAAATTTTAGGGTGCTTTTAAATGACATTTAAGCGTGTTAAACTGTCACTAATCGGACTAAACCGAACGCTAAAAGAGTCGTTTGGAGTTAAAAGTGTTAAAGGAACGTGGCAAACCGAACGCAATGATCATAGGATAAATACTGACCCGGTTTAATATTTTTTCTTATGTTTGAGCGGGCTGGTTTTGGCGAGTACACTCATCATAGGATTGAATACTAACCCGGTTTTTGATTATTTTCTTTTAGTTACCTCCGCGCCGTGATTAAAATGATAGTATCATTTTTATGTTGAGCGGGCTGGTTCTGGCGAGTGCACTCCTCATAGGATTGATACTATCCCGTTTTCTTACCACATTTATCTATTCCCTATTCACTAACACAAGGAGGTTTGTTTCAGTTTCAATTCCGACTAGATAGTTGACCAGATAACTTTTTCTACGACCGTGATTTTATTTCTGCTTCTACGAAACAAAATATTTAAGTTCAATCTTTTTGTCGATTTAACAGTTAACTAGCTAACTTTTGCTACGACCGAAATTATTTGCCATTTTTCTTCTTTAACTGAAATAGTAATTTTGTTTTGGCTCAACCACCGAACCGACAATTTATTAATTAGTTACCGAGCATCTTTCTTTTAATTTTAATTATACCGTCTGATTGAGACTAATCAAAGTTCACTACTGGCCGATCTGTTTGTTTTTCTTTTTGTTCACGGTTTTAAAAATACGAGCGAGGGTGGGCGTTGAAATATTAGTTACAAATTATTTATTGTAAATAGTTAAAATTCAATATATGTGTCAACGTTACCTTGACTGTTACTGATCCCTAATTTACTTCCCCTTTATTTCAGCAGTGAGAAATTCTTTATCACCACAAGTCACGATTAAAGCCCGTTACTTGTGGTTACTTATTACCTGTGTCTGAGTGACCAACGACCCCTGGAATTTGTGCCCGAGTACTTTCGACGCCGTTTCGAAAGTTTGTGGAGTAAACCACACATAAAATCTGGCGCCCGAGAGCCGTCCCGTCAACAGGCGTCATTTGTAACGCCCGTATGCACCGTACATGTTTAATCCAGATCAAGGGTTTAATCGCGTTTAGTACCACAGCTGAAAATGGTACTAAACGCGATTAAACCCTTGATCTGGATTAAACGTGTACGGTGCATACGGGCGTAAGTAATCGTTTTCTCTGAGGCGAGAAAACCCCTTACAAGAAGAAGGCACGAAAAAAAAAGAAGAAATTTATGCTAACGCCGCCGTAACTTTAGACAGCTTACCAAAATAATAATTTACAGTTTTCTCTATTATTTTATTAGTTGTTATGTAAACTTATAGATGGCGCAAAGATCATCCAATGACCTTGCAACTTTAAGATGTCTTCCGTTGAAATCATCTATTCCTTTTTTTTGATGGCCTCGAGATGACCCTTCCTTGCTGAGTTATCAGAAAATGAACGAAAATGCGTCATTTCCTTCTCTCGTCAATATCTCAGGAACCAATGGCCGCTCAGAAAATGGAAGGGATGTTTCAGAAACTTGTTCATTTTCTACAAGGTTCTGGCATGTTCTTTTGTACGAGAAATTTTTTTTTCATCCCTAGCATGACTTTGAAGAATTTCGGAAAACAGGTCTTTTTGAGGTTTTTTTAGAAAATCACGTGCCACATTGAGAATATTGGGAAAATGAATAATGTTAAGCGTGCATCTTACAGGCCATTGTTCCCCCGAAAGCTCTACAAAATTTCAACCTGATCCATCAAGCCGTTTCATTGTCTCATGCGAGTGAATTTTTGAAGAAATTGAAGGATCGCGTTTTTCTATCCATGATATTCACATCAGGATTTTGTGCTAATTGTTCGTTGGAAAATTTTTTTATCGCAAGATCCATAAACTAGACATTTCAAGCTTCAAAGTGCTTTTTTTTCATTCACGTTACGACTATTTTTACCAAAGATACAGCCACTCGAAAAATCGCAAAAAATCGAGATTTTTTTTGATCCTTTAATTTTTTCCACTAGTGCATTAATCTGTTAAAAATAAAAACTCAACATAAAGAACATCTTGTACATTCAATGATTTTGTTCATACTGTGTATTATAGCTGAAAAGTGTACTAAAAAATAATTCAAAATAACTATTTTATACTTTTTATTATATTTATAACTGGTGTTCTCAACAAACAAATTTTGTTTAAACAACATGTTTGTACCAATAAAATTCTTTCGATTTCTTTAATCATTCAAAATAAATAAATTCTAATTTCAAAATTATCTTCTATCTGTTTTGCCGACTCCCCTCTTTCCAGAGAACAAATGTTTAGGCATCTTGGTCCCGATAAACCTATCGGCTTCACCTTTCAATCCCATCTTTTTGACTTTCTTGCTAATAGCTCTGTGGGCAATCTTTGCGAGTTTCTTCTTCATGGCGACATCTTTAACGCCCATCTCGTTCCTAGGTGGTTTTGACATTGATCTAGACCGGTTAATGGATACTGTACGATCGCTGTCCTCCGTCCTCATTTTTTTAGTTGGAGGACCCAAAGACCTGCTTCTTTGTTTCGTGTTCATGAAATGAGACTCTTCGTTATCTGATAAGTCTACTCCTAGTTCTGCCATACTGTCACGAAGACGTGATACAGAACGGTCTCTGACCTGTAAAAATAAAAACATAGCTAATTGATTTTTCTGATTTATTTTTATTTATGTTAATTTATTTTAATTTATTTATTTCTATTTATTTATATTTATGTTTATTTATTTTATTTTTATTTATTTTTAATATATTTATTTATTTTTTATTTTGTTAATTTATATTTATTTACTTTTATCTTTTTATTTTATTAATTTTTATTTTCATTCATTTTCGTTTATTTATTTTTATTTTTTATTCATTTTTATTTTTTATATATTTTATTTTCTATATATTTTATTTTCTATATATTTATTTTGTTTATTTTTATTTATTTTTCTTTTCCCATACAAACTTTCACCCCTTGAAAATCCAAAAACACTGAAATACGTCATTATTAATAAATTAATTAAATTATTAATAGATTTTTTAATTTAATTTTATTTATGTTAATATATTTTAATTAATTTATTTTTTATTTTGTTTATTTATAATTGTTTACTTTTAATTTTCATTCATTTTAATTAGGTATATTTATTTATTTTTTATTTTGTTTATTTCTTTTTATTTATTTTTCTTTTTTATTTATTTTTTCCCATACAAACTTTCACCCTTTGAAAATCCACTGAAATACGTCATTATTAATAGATTAATTAATTAAATTCATAGAATTTTTAATTTATTTTTTTTTTATTTATATTTATGTTTATTTATTTTAATTTATTTTTATTATGTATTTGTTTATTTATTTTAATTTATTCATTTTTTATTCATTTTTATTTTTTATTTATTTTATTTTTAATATATTTTTTTTTCTTTTCCCGTACAAACTTTCACCCCTTGAAAATCCAAAAACACTTAAATACGTCATTATTAATAGATTAATTAAATTATTAACTTTATTTTTATTTATGTTAATATATTTTAATTTATTTTTATTTTAATTTATTTTTATTTTTTATTCATTTTTATTTTTTTATTTTTATTAAGTTATTAATTTATTTTTATTTATGTTTATTTATTTATTTTTATTTTATTTTTTTTTTCCCATACAAACTTTCACCCCTTGAAATGCCAAAAACACTTAAATACGTCATTATTAATAGATTAATTAAATTATTAATAGATTTTTTAAATTTATTTTCATTTATTTTTATTTTTTATTTATTTTATTTTTATTTGTTTATTTTTATTTTATTTTTCTTTTTTATTTTTTTTTTCTTTGCCCATACAAACTTTCACCCCTTGAAAACCCAATAAAATACGTCATTAATAATAGATTATTTAATTAAATTATTATTAGATTTTTTAAACTTATTTTTATTTATGTTAATATATTTTAATTTATTCATTTTTTGTTTTTTTATTTAATTTTATGAATTTTTATTTATTTTTCTTTTTAATTATTTGTTTATTTATTTTATTTTTACTTATTTTATTAATTTTTATTTTCGTTCATTTTCTTTTATTTATTTTTATTTTTTTTTCTTTTTCCATACAATTTTTCACCCCTTGTTTCCCTCCCACCCCTTTACAATGTGAAAATCCACTACACTGAAATGCGTCAATATTTACTAAAAATGTGAAAATCCAAAACCCTGAGATTTGTCATTATTAATTTACATTCCAATTTGCAAGTTTCTACTTTTCCATACAAACTTTCAGCCCCCCCGGTTCCCCCCTTTAAAACGTGAAAATTGAAAATCTCTGAAACACGTCATTATTTATTTCAGTTCAGTAGCTGTATTTCAAATTTTCATGTTTCTATCTTCAAACAACAAAGATTTCATACAAAACTTATCCCCATTTCCCCCTTTAAAGTTAATATTTTCGAAAATTAATTATTTTCATTCATTTTCGTTTATTTATTTTTATTTATTTTATTTTTTATTGTTTATTTTCCTTGTTTTTTCTTTTCCCATACAAACTTTCACCCCTTGAAAATCCAAAAACCCTGAAATACGTCATTATTAATAGATTAATTAAATTATTATTAGATTTTTTAATTTATTTTTTTATATTTGTTTATTTATTTTATTTTTATTATATGTATTTTATTAATTTTTATTTTCATTCATTTTGTTCATTTTTATTCATTTTTATTTACGTTTATTTAGTTATTTTATTTTTATTTCTTTTTATTTATTTTTTTCACCCCTTGAAAATCCACTAAAATACGTCATTATTTATAGATTAATTAATTAAATTATTAATAGATTTTTTTTAATTTATTTTATTTTTATATTTTTATTTATTTTTATTAATTTTTATTTATGTTAATTTATTTATATTTATTTTATTTTTATTTATTTTATTAATTTTTATTTTCTTTCATTTTCGTTTATTTATTTTTAATTTTCAAGTTTCTACTTTTAAAAAATCTATTTTTCCAAACAAACTTTCATCCCACCCGTTTCCCCCTTTAAAACGTAAAAAATGAAAATCTCTGAAACTTGTCATTATTTATTTAAGTTCAGTAGCTCTATTTCAAATTTTCATGTTTCTAACTTCAAAGAACAAAGATTTCATACAAAACTTTCCCCCATTTCCCCTCTTTAAAGTTAATATTTTCGAAAATCCTTTCTTAGTAGATGGTAACGTTATAAAATAACTAAGTTTCAAATTTCAGCTTTCTAAAGATAGTAGTTTTTGCTATACATTGGTAGGTTCAGTCAATCAGTTAGTCAGTTCAGTAAGTTCAGTCAGTTCAGTCAGTTCAGTCAATTCAGTCAGTCGTTCAGTCAGTCACTCAGTTCAGTCAGTCAAACAATATTTGTTAATAATTCATGCAATATTTGATAAGATTGATCAAGAAATCACTGAAATAAAGACAAAAAATTCATCAAAAATGGAATTTGTTTTCAAAACAATGGAAACCTTGTTAAAAGTTACTTACACTTTCATAAAAATAATTTTTTTATGATAAAACAAATAAATACCTTAGCACCTGCGGTCCTTGGCATAACAGGTTTCCTACTTTGTTTATTAATTCTGGCTTCATCCTTCATTATAGCCTTCTTGTGTCTGATTTGAAGCGCCAATTTTTTGATCTCCTGCATCGTTTCGTCGAGTTCCATTTTAGGTACAACATACATTCCCGTTTCTTCCCTTATTTCCTCGTCCTTTTCTAATTCGGCTAATTTCTCGAATATCTCCGGATCTATATAATCAGCGATATTATGGCCTTCCCAAATTTCTGGAATGATATCGTGTCTTTCTTCTTCTGGAATATCAACATAATGTTTTTTAAGATCCAATACGTAGTCATCGCCTTCTTCTAATTCTATTTCTCTTTCAAGTTTGCGTTTTTTGTTTGCTCTTTTAGCCAGTACACTTTCGGGTATACAAGGAGGGCGAACTATTTCATCTCTTTGCTTTGGAACAGCTACGTGGAGCCTATTTAATACGCCATCTACCTACACGCAAAAAAAGTAACATTTCAAACAATTTAAAAACAAAAATAGAACCTTTCTTACTTTTTTAGTTCTCATTTTTTGATCAACTCTGAAACTCAACAATTTTTCGCAAGCTTCAGTTTTAACTTCCATAACTCCAGTATCGTCAAGGGCTGACATTTCAAGCATTGTTATTTCTTTATCCTCTTCTAAAGACTTGAGAGATGCCCTTTTCTCTTCGGACAGCTCGTTTAGTTTGATGATATCACATTTATTAGCAACAATAATAAGGGGTTTATTTGCAAATAATGGTTTAATCGATTCAAAAAGTTTTACCTATAAGTAAAAGATATATTTTATAAAAATGTAGGTAATCGTTGAAGTGTTCAAATTAGATATTTTATTAAATTAAACAAAATTACCTACAATATAAATATTTAACAGTGGTACGTTTATTAATGTTCTGCAGAACAAATATCTAGACTCTAGATATAATGTAGACCATAGTATAAATCACTAGATATAAATTAGAGGAATGTTATTCATTTAATAATATATTATGGTGCATTAGTCCATATTTTAGGAACCTTTAAATGTCAAATATAAAACAACTTATCAATTAATTATTGTAATTTTGAACTCCTAAGACATCTAATTGGAATTATATTATTACAAATGTTATAAAATGGATATCCAGCACATCATTTTAAAAAATAATAAATTAAATACATCAACATATTGAAACAAATTAAATTGAGGATTAAACTACGAATTTTCCTTAAATTCAGATGCTCCCTACAAGTTTTTGCAACGTTTTTTTAATGTATGCATCTTCTAAGTTACGATTATAGATTTTTAACATGTTCTAGCCAATTATCTAAGAGTGCTCACAAGCAGCATGAAAATTGTTTTTTTTTAGGACGTGGATATAGTCCCGTACGTGGGACCCGAAAATTATATCTGAAGTCCCGCACGGGCGGAGTTTATTCACGTCACGCGTTTGCGTCAGAAATTGTTGATGATGGATCTTGTTTACACAACATATGTTTCCCGGTATGTACACAGTTTACTTTTATGAACATTACATAGAATATTAATCACATCATATTTTTAGGAACCAATAAAAAGTCGAGGTAGGCCCAAAGGAAGATCACTAACGGCCATTGGTTTACCAAAAAAGAAGAAACGGACAAAGTAACAATCCTTCAAGATTAAAATAAACTACCTATACCTACTGCAAATTAATAATAATAATTTAATCTTTAGAAAGATTTACCTACATTAAATTTCGTTTAAATTATTGTTGACTTTTATTAAATAATTTGACTTCCCTACCTCTTATACCCTTTTAGAAATGTGGTCGTAATTAACGCCCATTAATTTATTAATGCAATTTGCAGATAAATACTGAGTACCTACTTATACTTAGATATCTAATCTTGTCATTCATAGTTTAACAGAACCGATCTTAACCCCCTAATTTAACCAGATTTTTTTCAGAATCAATAGGCGTTATTGATTCTTCCCGAAGATTTCAAATTCATATTGTTTTTTGTTTCAACGCCCCCCCCCCCTCTCATTTATACCTATTCAGATTTTTTCAGAATTAACAAGTTTCATCCCCTTATAAAAATTGATTTTGACTATAAATTTCATGTTGATATCTCTTCTCGTTTTTTAATTCCATTTTTTTTTGTTTCAATTCCCTTATCCCACCCATTTTTATTCAGATTTTTTCAAAATCATTAGACTAGACTTCGTACCCTTATACAGAGCTCGATTTTTCCTAAAAATTTCAGGTTGATATAGTATTTAGTTTTTACATAAGGATTGTTTTTAATATTTCAACCTCCCTTAACGTCTTCCTATTTTTATTCAGATTTTTTTTTTTCAGAATCAATAGACTTCATCCCCTTATAAACCTTGATTTTGATTAAAAATTTCATGTTTCGTTCATGATTTTTTTTTTAATTTCAACCCCCCTTAACCCGCAATGTAAAGAGTTTAATAATAGGACCTATCTAAATACCTCGACCGACTGCCGTATTTACATTTTTTTAAATCGGTTAATACGAATTTTCAGTTCCCATAGAAAATTGTAGAATCGAACCGCGCAAACGCGCGATTTAACTCCGCCCGTGCGGGATTTCAGATGTAATTTTCGGATCCCACGTACGGGACTATATCCACGTCCTTTTTTTTATTAAAATTTAAAAAAAAATATATTTTTCTGGCTTAACATTGGTGCCTCCCCTCCCCTTACTATAACGTCACATATTAACAAATTCGGTTTGCCTGTTCTGTTTGTCTATAAAAGGGTTTTTATGGTGGAAATAACCATCAATTAATTTTAAATTTGGTATGAATCAAGAGCTAAATGCATGTACTGTCTGATGTTGATTTGATATTTTGATAAATTGAAACTAAAGAACACCTGAAAACTGCATTTTTAAGTTCTATGTGCTGATTAAGAACAAGTTTTTATATATCAGATAAAAATAAAATAATAAAAAACACTTGATAAAGTCAATAAATAATACGTAAAGAGGAAGTGTCTACTGCACCATTATAACTGTGATTAAAATTTAAAAATCTGAGACTATTTATTTAACTTAAGATGGATGCAAAGATCTGCTCAAAGTGTAAGGATGAGAAAGCTAATCAAGTTTTTCCATGTGATTCATGCAAAGAGTACTTATTAGATCAACTAAAAAACCTGTTTTTTCGATAAAAAATAAGGCAAGCTATGATGAGATATTGAGTGCTAAGTTTTTAAAGGAAACCTTTTATACAACTGGCTTTGCAGTGTTAAATTTAATAAACACCTCACTAGAAACAGGAACATTTCCTGGTAGACTAAAAGCAAGCAAGATAGTTCCAGTCCAAAAAATTGCAAACGATACAAATGCATCCAACTTGCGACCTATAAATATACTTCCGACAATTGAAAAATTATTAGAAACCGTAGTTCGCGACCAAATATTAGAATACTTTAATAACAATTTAGGGAAGGCCATTCATGTGAAACGTCTTTACAGTTAACTATATCTAAATAAATATTATAATAGCCGTGTTTCTAGATTTTAAATGAGCTTTTGAGACAATAGATCGTAAAATGTTGATTAATAAATTGAAATATTATGGTTTTGCAGGACGAGTCCTGACCTGGTTTGAACAGTATATGACTGATAGATTACAATATATAAAGCTAGGTAAATCAACATCTGAAATGCTAAAAAATAACTTAGGAGTACCGCAAGGAAGTATATTAGGGCCGCTTCTATTTATCATATATTTAAATGACATGAATGATTTTATCATCTACAATAATGAAATACATAACTACAATACAAGATCTGTTCATAATTTTTATACTCCACAAACAAGACTAGCTATAGCAACAAAATCTATTTTTATATGTGGATTACGTGAATTTAATGCTTTGTCTAGGACTTCCTATATTAAATAAATATTCTATTCTTCTATAGAGAGAGTTCCTATGTTTGTAGCATTACAGCGATGCGTACTATTAAACAGCGCCGTCCTTGCTAATTTTATGACTGTGGAAAGTGTGGCATATTGATGCCTCGCCGTCTCAAAAAGGACAAGCAGTGAGGCATCCGTTAAATGCCACACTGTACTCAACGTGTTAAAGTATCTAAGAAAACTATTATGACTTAGGTAGCGTGGGAACCAGACTGAGGAGCAATAATCAAATTGTGTCCTATCTAAAGAGAAGTATAGAATTTTAACTGTATTTAGATTAGACAAATGAATTGTCTTCTTGACAAAACCCAGCATTTTCATTGATTTTTGAACTGCTAATATGGCCATTAAAGCTCATGGAAGAGTCAAAGATGATCACTTTCCTTATATAATGCTTTGTTTTATTTCAGATATTTTGTATATCTTCCAGAATGTCCGAGGGACGCAAAAAACTATCTGGTTGCGAATATAAAAAACGAAGGGTGGAAAAGGAAATGCAAAGACAAACTGGCACTTTACTAAATTATTTACAAAGTACATCGGGGAGTACCAAAACAAATGACGACTCAAAATGTTCTACATCAAAGAATTGAAAGACTCTGACAACAGAGAATCGCCTGAGAAAAATGAGGATCAACAAATGAATCATATACCTGAACTGATACTTGTAACTGACAGTGGCAGCCCTCCGTCACTAAATCAGAGCACTATTGATACCAACGTGGCACCTACAGAAAGCGTTCAACAACCTTTAAGTACTGATACTACCAGACGCCAAAAGAATCTTTCTGGTAAAGGCAAGGTCCACCTAAACCATTGTACAATTATAGATTTCCATACGATGAAACTGGTAAAAAATTTAGCCTTAATTATTATTATAAAAGAATTTTAAGTAATGTAGAGCAAATTTTAAGAGAGTGGCTAGGTACTGTCTCAAAAAATTGCGTATATTGCTTTTGCTGCAAAATTTTTGGCTGTGTACTTAGATCCCTTTCCAAGGAGGGGTTTAAAAAATTGAGCTTATGAACGAGAAGATCATGGTTCGCCTTGTCAAAGGCCTTGCAAAAGTCAGTATACACAGAATATACCTGTAGACTCTTCTCCAAAGCTTCAGACATAAAGTTGGCATACGCTAATAAGCTCAGTTCTGCAGATCTGCCTGGCGAAAAACCAAATTGTAGAGAGTTTAAGATATTGGAAGTCATATGTTAGAAAATCAGTTATTATACTTTTAAAGATTTGTGGGATCATGCTTAAGATGAAAATGGGGCAACAATTTTTTGCATCAGATTTGTTGCCCTATTTGTAATGAAATTTATCTGTGCTTAGTGAAAAGAAGAAGAAAATATATTTATTGGGTACTCCCAAAGGGCTATTGACCAGAGTCTTTTAGCCAATATTTACAATTATTATATGTATAATCTTCTTGGGTTGGCAATCTGAATGAATGGATTTAAAAAATGTCTTCTAGTAAATAGAATAAAAGTTGTTAATGCTTGTCTGTTAATGATGTTAATATTAATTGGTTTGTTGGCAAATTTGTTGGATTCTTTCTGTTATAGGTTCCAATTGTTTTTTTGTATAAAAGTCTATTTGGAGGGTTATGGGGTAGATTCTCTGGATGCCTCATTTTTGTAAGGGTTCTTAAGGCGCTTTAGCCATTGTGGGCAATAAGGCTTTCTGATGGTTCGGTTGGTGAAACTTAACTGATATCATACAAGTCAAAACAGTATGTAAATACATTTACCAGAAAAAACTGCCGTAGTGTCGATAATGTACATATTGATGAATCATTTTTTGAGATTGATAAGCAATTCTTGGCAGTTGATATTTTTTGGGTTGTTAACTTTGGTTGTGAAACGTGATTGGTTGATGAATTTTGTTGTCTGTGATATTCGAATCTATCTCTATATTTTTATTCATAGATTTAATGCGGGTATTTGGAATTCCAGGAATGGGTTGGGTAGACCTTTTTGGACATTTAATTGTCCAAATTTTATACAGTTTTGAGATATGTTTGTGTTTAAAAAATACAAAAGTGATCACAATACCAGATTAACTTATTGTATACCATTGCCAATGACAACCTCTAACCTCATATTGAAGTCCTTAGGTAAATATTGGGGAACAAAATTTAAATCACCTGCCATTAGAATTAAGACAGACTGAAAATGATAAGGCCTTTCAAAGAGAACTGAAGAGTCTACTAGCTGAGAAAACTTAATATAATCTTGCAGAGTTCTTTAATAACTCATTGTAACTGATTTATTTCATATATATCTTTATGTACTAAATTGTTACCTTGTCTTTTATTTTACATAGACAGTATCCAATCGATTGCTAGTATGATTGATCATACAATACCAGATTATCAAATTTTAGAAAGACACAATGGACATTTTCTTGGAACATTTCAACTATGTACGGTGGATTCTTTAAGAGACATTCTTTTTGCAATGAAAAATAAAAGTAGCACAGATGACATTAATATTAATATTTTAAAAAACTGTTTTCCCAACTTCTCAGAACCTCTTTTAAATTTGATAAATTCGTCATTAGAAATTTCAAAAATACCTAATGCTCTAAAAATTGCTATGGTAGTGCCTGTTCCAAAGACAAAAAATGCAAATAAAGCTACAGATTTAAGGCCTATTAGTATGTTAAGTTGTATCGAAAAAATCATTGAGAAGGTCGTTTATGAACAAATTGTTAATTTTTTAGAACAAAATAAACTTATTACTAGAATACAATCGGGCTTCAGAAGCAAACATAACTGTGAATCAGCTATCCAGTGTGTTTTATATGATTGGAAATCTAAATTTGATAAAAACTATCTAACATTGGCAGTTTTTATAGATCTTCAAAGGACATTCAAGACTGTTGATCAAAACCGTTTGATAAAAAAATTAAAAAGTATGGGTATAGTAGAGCAAGCATTGGAGTGGTGTGTGGATTATCTAAGTAAGAGGAAACAAAAATTAAAAGTAAATAACAATTTATCAGAGGAAATTACCTATATCAGAAGTGTTTCACAGGGAAGTATATTGGCTCCCCTGTTGTTTTTAGTGTATATCAATGACATTGTTGATTTCAAGGGTCAATGTGACATTCACCTGTTTGCTGATGATGCCCTAATATATTTTTCTTGTAATGATTCAGATAACTTGGTAAGGGTTGTTAATGAAACACTGCAACATGTTTATAAATGGTGTTGCAATAATTTGTTGAAAATTAACACAAATAAAACAAAATGTATGCTGATAAGTAACAACTATAACTATACACAGTTTGTTGATAAACAATATAACATATCAATTGGAGGAAATTCTATACAGTTGGTAGAAAAATTCAAATACTTAGGGGTAATGATTGACAAGCAGATGAGATTCATAGATCATGCCAACACTGTTCAACACTATTGCAATTAAGTTAAATTTCCTATTTAGAAGTTCATTTGGCTTATCACAGTGGACTAAATGTATTATATATAATACTATAATTCTACCTCACTTTAATTATTGCTCTACAATACTCTTTTTACTAAAGCAAAATAAGTTGAACTGACTACAGAAGCTGCAGAATAGGGCTATGTGAATAATAATAATATCCTGTTCAAAATATACTTCCATTAATCTAATGCTTGAAACTTTGAGGTGGATGCCAATCAAAAGTCTCTTATTACGGAATGCTTTAATTTTTATTTATAAAATCAAACACTGGTTACTTCCAATGTACCTAAAAGAGAAGCTTAATTATCACTCTAATGTGCACAATTATCCAATGCACAACAGAAATAACTTTTATATTGAAACAGTTGTTAAGAGTGCAACACAAAATTCACTATTTTTTAAAGGTCTAAATCAATATAAGGCACTTCCAGAGAAAATTAAATCAGTAACGTCTGTAACTACATTTAAAGCAAAGTGACAGATTTCTTAATTGATGAATATTTCTCCAGAAACAGTAACAACCTAAAGCTAAATAAAGGAAAATAATAAAATAATAATATTTATTTTAACAAATGTCTGACTTGATATTTTATTTTATACCTTTTATTTTGTACCTTCTGTTTTACTTGTTTTGTATTTTATATTTCTACAGCTTTGTCAACAAAATTCTGTCTTTGACAATAAAGCATTTTTTGATTATATTTAATATGTTATAAAAAGTATTAACGGTCACTATGTAACTGTGTATTAACTTTACATTAGACACAGTGACCAGTAATAACTTTTATAATTACATATGTAATTTATTTGTATTGGATATGTTTTGGCAAGTCAAATTATAATTACTCCTTTAACCTTTGAATTTTTTGTTTTTTGTTAATTCAATACATCAAATCCTCTCATGTGTTTTTGCTAGGATACAAAGTATGCCCATAGATTTGATCTTGTCAGGTCTGTCTATACATAGATATTGGCATCACTTTGTATTAATAAAGTAAAAATTATACATTTGCCTAATTCTATTTGATAAGCCAAATAGATATTACAAACATCATTTAACTATAGTAACTTTGGATACACATATTAGGTAAACTAGTCATAGTATTACATTAAAATTTTGCTCAGTTATATACTGAACTTTTGTTGAAGTAAAAATGTAATAATTTATAAAGTTGAGGGAGACACTTTTAAAATACAGGGTGTTGCACAAAAAAGGCTTTTCTATTTTTTAAGTTTTTGCAATCAGTTTATGACATATTCCATACTATCATTCACCTAAACTCAATTGCCCATTTTAAAATAGTTAGGGTGCATAGGAAGTCGACTTATTTTAGAAGTCATATAATAGAGATCTTTTGGTTTTGATTTGTTCATTCTTTTCAATTACTAATTTAATTAAAGCTGCAAGTAATACCACCTATCAAACTATTTTATTATTAAATGTATGTTGAATATAGCAAACTATTATCCACAAAACATGTTAACAGTGGATTTAAAAGCTCTTAACATGTTGACTGGCAGGCAACTACGAGTTAATTCATAGTTTGCATTTGTGACTATGACATATCTTGTACTTTGTTTACTTGCCATATTCATGCAACTACAATTAAATTAAATATGAATTAGTAGCATCAGTAGTATCTCTAACTCAGGTGTCGATGCAAGATATTTTTTAATCTTCTTTTTTTAAACACATTCTCTATGCTTTTTTTATGATTACTGTATACTATATGTAGTTTTTAATAATATATTGTCAGTAAATCCCCAAAACCTCTTATAAGACAATTTTGACAAAATGAGAATCCTCATAGGTATCTAATTATTAATATATTTTTTGATCTTTTAAGCCTATCTCAGATACTCCTGTTAAGTATATTACACCATTTTTGTAACCAGAATTTTGCTAAACAGCACACAATAGTTTTTTTTTCCTCCTTGACTGTAAAATGTAGTTTTCTTCTCACAAAAGGTTTTGTGAATTTACAGACAATATGTATAAATTAAATTGGCTTTTGAAAATCATAGTGGCAGTCAATGTGTTAAGTAACAAGTATTTACTTTCAAAAAAAAAAGTTTATGTAGTATATTTTTCTATTTACTGCATCAAAGACTAAAATTTAATTTTAACACAAAATAAACTTACCTGTTCATCCAGACCATGTCCACATTGTTCAGAAAGATCTAAAAAGTATAAAATACAAGCTCTGAGATGGGCAAGAGCTGTTACAGCTTGCATTTCAATAACATTGCGTTCTTCTAAAGAGTGGTCAAGAATACCAGGAGTATCAATCACTTGCCAACGTAAGTATTTGTAATCAGTGTGACCAATGTATAATGATTTTGTTGTGAAAGCATAAGGCTGGACTTCAACATCTGCTCTAGTAATTTTATTAATAAATGAAGATTTGCCAACATTTGGAAAACCTAAAAAGTGAATTGGTTAACATATGAAATCTAGAAACTATATATTAGTTTTGTTTTACCACAAATAATAATCGTTCTTGTATAAGGATCAATTGAAGGTAACCTAGCTAAATGTTGCCTGACTTGCTCTAAATATGTCAAATTTGAACCCTGTCTCTTCATTATAGTCGCCATACGACCTAATGCTGCCCTTTTCAGTTGTTTGCATCTATACAGTGAGTCTCCATATTTTAGTAATCTAACGTAATCTTTAGAAACATTATCAATTAAGTGTCTTGCAGTGTTTATTTGACCCAGAGCTAATTTGTAATGGTCCTTGTCATAAAGTACATTCATAAGATCAGCATAAAATGGATGCACATCATCTAATTTGGGGAACTCAGTCAAAATTTGGGTTAATCTATCATGAAAACTCTGTTGAGAGAATTTCACTTTTCTCATATAAAACGCTCTGATCCTTGTGATTTTGTATTGCTTGTGGACAACAGTAGGGGTTTTACGTTGTGTTTTAGATAATATTATATCTATGAAGTCCTGTAACAGATTTTGGTTAAAACAGAAAAATTATATATCACAAATAACAAACCTTTGCTGTAGGAACTACAGCTATCTTTTTGAAATTATACATAGACATTTTGGATGTTTTTAGTTTATTTTATTTGGTATTCAATTAATTTATTTTATTTTGTTATTAAATAAAACTTTTAAAAGGTTTTCCACGTGCTCACTTGACAAGAGGTGAGCAAAAAAGGAAATTGACACTTAATATGACAATTGACACTGACGTTTACTCACATGAGTAAATAGATAAAAAAGTAAATAAAGGAAACTGATGATAAAATATAAGTAAAGAATCACACTGATCTGTGATTATATGAGGCGCCTCGATCGAAGATATCACTAGATATGTTTATTAATGGTCGATTCCACCGTTGTGTCCAAATCTCAGCCAAGTCTGATTCAGCTGAGTTCTCTGCATTGGGATTCTCATCTTTCAATTCGACACGTGTTGAGACGACTATCTTCGTTACACAGAATGTGATTCGCATGTAATGTCTCTCTCTACTCAATTCGTTACGTGTTGAGTACGCATATAAGAATCCCTGTTTTATTTATAAATACGGACCTCAGCTGAGTTCTGTATATAAATACGGACCCTAATCCTTGGGAAGAGTAGAAAAAAAAAAGAAGAAAAATTTGTCAAAAAGTTTGACAGAAACTGAAAAGTCTGTTTTCTATTATTGTTTTGTTGGTTTTTTTGTTAATTTTTTACTTGATAGCAAAATGTTTTTAACTATGTAGAAAGGTGTTTGCTTATCTAATAATAAAAAACCATAACCGTAATTCATATTTAACATTTCATCAAAATGTATGGCGGAAATGATGACGATTATGAAGAGAGGAATAGGCAACTTATCTTCCAAGGAACTCAAGTTTTAGGACGAACAGGAGAAAGTTTAGCTAGGTCCACACAAATTGCGGTTGAAACTGAACAGATAGGAAACGAGGTTGTTTCTGAATTAGGAGAACAAAGAGAGTCTTTATTGCGAACTAGAACCAGATTGGAAGATGCCAATGAACAGCTCAATAGTGCTAAAAGTTTACTCAAGTCTATGAGCCGCAATGTTATTTATAATAAGTTGATCTTAATTTTAATTATTGTATTGGAAATACTTATATTAGCCACTGTATCTTATTTGAAATTTAAGCCTTAAATTCTATAAAAATTATAAAATAACTAGTTACCAATTATACAAAAAATATTTAGGTGCTAAGATTTGTAATCTGATACCAAAAACAATAATAATCTCCTAACAGCTGATCATTCAAGATTAGGCTCTTCATATACATGTTACTGATACATATTTAGTGAAAATCCTCTTCTGAATTGGTAATCAAAATTCATAAAACGCTATGTATATCGAATTGTGAGATTTTGCCATAAAACAAATTAAAAATGTTATTCTCAATAAATAATAACGTATATAATATTGTATTTTAAATTTGTGAATAAGAGTATAATAACTTGCTTTATTTTTAATGTTTATTTATTATTACCTTAAGACTTGATTGTAGAAACCTTATTATTACCATTACAGTTGTTCATATTGACTGAATAATTAAAGTTCTACATGACTTATAGCCTTGGTGCATAGTTTAATACTTTGGGCCTGCATATATCAAGAAACAGCCAGCAATGACATTTGTGTGTAGTAATAGTCATTAAATATGCATAATTGAGGAAAATTAGTTGAACAAACAATAAGAATAAATAGGAATTTTGTATTTTAAATATTTATTACATTCTTTCAGAAACTCTAGAAGCAACATTTCTTAACTGTCCATAAACTTTAGAGGGGGGTGATCCAAGAATTAAATTACAGATTGCTCTCCTAGCCAATGCTATGTTTTGAAAACTACCCAAAATATGAATTTTGCTGTCTGCTAATATTATCCTAGTTTTTGTAACATTTTCTATCGTAAATTTGGTCCTGCCTCCTTTTCCAGCTAGTCGTCCTATGGCTCTTGACTGATGATCTCCTTTTAATGTTTTAACATCTTTAATTTCAAAAGATTCTACAAATAGATCATCTAAACGGATTAGAGCTAAAGCATCTTCCACTTCAAAACCATAAATAAAAGCCTAAAAATGAGAATTGTTTAAATATATTTATGAAATTTGACTTATCTTAAAGTTTGCTACTTACTTTTACAAAATCTGAAGCTTTCTGTAAATTACCAATATCTTTCGTCTCTTTACATGTCTTAATCTCAACATTTCTTGATTTTAGATTAAACCTAATTTGAAGTTGTAGGTGTTCAACAATAGGTGTAAAAATTTTTAACCAGTTTTCTTTCAAGGGAGAATAACGATGTGAAGGGACAGGGATCTTTCTCATATCATCCTTAGTTTCCGAAAATGATTGAGTTCTAGTTTTTTTTCTTCTTGGTGGTCTAACTTTGTTGGTCCCTTCAATTCCATTATGGACTTCTACATCCATATCTTCCTCAATAGTTACCACCCTCTTTTGAGCCTTCTTTGGCTCAAAATTATCCATATCAATATTCACGTCTGCCATTTTAGGGCTTTAAAAAATGATTTTTGAGAGAAAAGCTAGAAAAATCAAAACATGCTCTTAGGATTAACCTAAAAATAATAAAAGATCAATTTCTTCTTTTTTATTTTGGTCTTGGATAATTCAAACATGTGTGGTGTCACTTGTCATGACGCTGCGTACTTGCAATGTTGTCAACATTTTTTGGTCAATGGTAAATTAGGTATACAAGTACGATATTAACCCTTTTGCAAAAATGTTATGTAACGTTTTAGTTTTCGATATTTGCATACGCCACTGAAGTTGTAATTGTTGTTCACTTCAGTGGTGTTACGTTTCTACAAAATATCTTCAGTGTGGCAACATTGCGTACTTGACCTTTGACTGACATAAGCTGTCATATATCAAACAACTTGTTGATTTTTTTATTTTTTGTTTCACTTAAGTTTTGCACTTTGATCTTAGATAAAAAAGAATCAATGTACATTAATACTTAGTATAGTAGCTCATTTGTGGGATAGTATCTACCGTTCAAGATGACTACAGCTTTAAAACGTTTAACGGGAAGAATCGCCATTGTAACAGCCTCTACAGAAGGAATAGGTTTTGCAATAGCTGAAAGATTAGCTAAAGAAGGTGCCAAAGTAATTATTAGTAGTCGAAAACAAAAAAATGTTGAGGAAGCTACTAAAAAACTTTTAGATCAAGGTCTTGATGTTAGAGGTTTAACATGCCATGTTGCTAAGTCAGATGATCGAAAGAAATTATTTGAAGAAGCTAAAAAAATAGGTGGTCTTGATATTTTGGTTTCTAATGCAGCCGTGAGCCCCACAGTTGGTGGTGTTTTAGATTGTTCTGAAGAATCATGGGATAAAATATTTGACATAAATGTTAAGTCTTCCTTTCTTCTAGCCAAAGAAGCCATTCCACTTCTTAGGTCTAGTAAAGCAGGAAGGCTTATTTTTATTTCTTCAATTGCTGGCTTTCAACCATCAGAGTTTTTAGGTGCTTATGCAGTAAGCAAAACAGCTTTATTAGGACTTGTCAAAGCTGCATCTCTACAATTAGCTCATGATAATATCACTGTTAATTCTATATGTCCTGGATTAATTCGTACAAAATTTTCTGACCCAATTACATCAAATGATGAAATATTGAAAACTGCTGTGCCTGGTATTGCTTTGAAAAGGTAAAATAATAAACCTGAGTTAATAATTCTGAGTATATTCATTAATTGTAGGCATCCTATTTATTACTATTTTTGTTTTTCAAAAAGAAATTTCTGTCAATATAAGAAATATTGTTTTTTAATAACTATTTTTTAGGCTTGGTGAGCCACATGATGTAAGTGGTGCTGCTGCATTTTTAGCATCTGATGATGGTTCATATGTGACTGGTGAAAACATTATTGTATCAGGTGGAATGGCTTCCAGATTGTAAAATATATGGGGATTTTTGGTAATAAAGGGTGCTGTAATATAGGTGCAATTTGTATTTTATAAGTAAAAACCATTAAATTGTTACAAGGATTATTTTTATTTACAAAAATATATTAACTTAAAAAACATACTGTTTGCACAAAGCTCTCAAAAAAGTACTCTTTCGCAAATTACTGGCCTCTCTCTGTATCTCTTCATTATTGCTAGAATTCAACTCCAACATTCCAATGACCTGAATAGCGCACTTTCGCCTTTGAAATTCTCCTTTTTTATTATGCATATGTATCAGGTACTCCAAAATGCTTGTATCCCAGAAACAATGATAGTAAGCATCTACAGCATCATTACAGGTTTTTTGTTCAGACAGAATTCGAAAAGCTAACATATAGTCAGTTTCTTCTAGAAATTGACACAGCACAGCTGCTTGAGTATTGCATCCTAGGGTAGTACAGCATTTTATCATTCTTCTAAAAACGTGATCGTCATTTCGAATTGGGATGTTGAAATAGTCATGAGATACTAGTAATGATTTTAAATAGTCACTCAAGGAGACTTGGTAGTGACCATTAGCTAAAATAAAATAATTTAATAAACATTTAATAATAAGTGTATGCCTTTGTGCTTTATATGAGTGAGTTATTATTCCCAAATTTATGGGCAAGAAGTAGTAGGGACAGGGACATGGGAATCAACAAATTTAGAATAGACAAGTCACTCCATCTCCTGTACCGTGAATTTAGCTGGCTAGCATATGGCCACAGTGATGTGTCAAATATTGCTTTTTACCACTTCTGTAAATATAAAAATTAATAACCAACATTTGAAAGCATGTGTACTCTTAGATAGTGGCGCCCAGTGCAATTTTATTACTGAAAAGCTAATAAACTTTTTGTAAATCATATCCTTAAAGGTGTAGGACAAAATGTCTTTAAAATATATCATAAAGTTTGTTTGACTCTACAATCTCTGAAAATGCCACTGATTTTCTGGTACTTAACAAAATTACTGAAAATTTACCCCAATTAATATTTTCAAAAAAAGATTTTAAATTCCATTTGATTTTGAATTAGCAGATCAATTTTTTAATCTTTCTGATGACAGTAATATTTTGTTAGGTTCATATATTTTTCTGTTCATTAGAACAAGTTTTTTAAATTATACAGTCCACTTATATTTATCTCGCAGAGAGCCATTAATCAATATAAGCAAAACATCTTGGGTCACAATGCACAAATCTGCATTGCAGTTATTCAATAGACTATAGAACTAGAAAATAAATTTTCCCTACAAGTTTATGATCTGCTATCTGCAAATTGTTTCCTCAACTTTTTCTTCTATGACATTTTAATAATTAACTTTATATCCCTATGAACTAAAATTTTCAATAAATACAGATTTTTAGGTCACTTAAGCGATTTTTATATAATTAGCTATAAATCTAAACTAGATAAAGACTTACCAAAATTTATGTCGCCCAATAGCCTGAGCCAAGCCGCATTATTTGGATATTGCTTTAGGGCATATGTTACAATTTCTAAGAGAAGTTCATGGACTGCCACGGGGTTATAAGAATTAGCACTGAAAGATAAATAAGAAAAATGTAATTTAAACTAAATAGAATAGAGAAAATCAGTAGACAAAGTTATCATGGCCCCACATAGGGAATTCAGTGTGTAAGAGTGAGAGGTACAAATTCAGTAGGTAAGAGTGAGGGGAAGCGGGGGAGTGGGGGAAATTAAATCTCTTCTAACGTTGAACAGAAAAATTATGCGATTGCCAAAAGGGCCTAAGGGTGTTTCTCGATTATTCTGGTCCGATTCAAACGGGAAAAACGGCATTATGTAGAGAACGCGGTATAGATTAAGGTTGAAAAGAAAAAACATGCGCAGAACGAAAAGTCAGAAGGGCCTTAGGGTGTATCTTTATTGCTATTGGACTGATTCAAACGGGAAAAACGGCAATATGTAGAGAACGTAGTATAGATGAAGGTTGAAGAGAAAAATCGACGTTTCGTATGCGTTTGACGTTTCGTACTTCAACTAAACTAACTACTACTACAGCCAGGTTGGTCGAGCAGTCTAATGTAAGTCCATCCTCCGAATAGTCAGTATTGAGATGTCTAGCGAAGAGAATAGACGTAGAATTGAAGAGTTTGGTATAAAAGAGAACTAAATAGAGATATAAAATTATATGAAGATAAAAAACAAGTTTTAAGAGATTGACAAATTTAAGTCTTTGGGAGGATATTGAGAGATATCATCCTAGACCACTTAGAAGAATCCAAAGCCAAATATGGCCATCTTAAAGGCTAATTTCATTATACTTAAGGATATATTAAACAACGTGCTGTATACAAATGTGCCGAGTGGCGTACAACAGATGGCGATAGGTTTTGACAATCAAAGACGAATTTCTCGGTGGTAAATAATATGAAGCTAAATACGTTTTCCATAGCAATCGATGAAGCAAAGAGATACAAATTAAAATTGATTTTTAATGATGCGACTGAAGGAGAACTAAGAAATTGGCAGACTATAGCAACTCCACCACCACCACCACCGATTGATTTAAGTGACATGCCAGAGCCTGAATATTCTAAATTATATATAGTTAGTTGCATAACATTATCATCTACTTTGTTTATAATATTGAAAATTATTGAAAAAATTATAAATAAAAAATGATACTCTTCTTGTAAAACAAAAATAAATGTTTGAAATTGATGAGGTGTTTTAAGTCGTCACAAAGATATTGACGCTGCTTATCTCTGTCAGACCTATTCTAAAATTCCCAAACAGATGGTGCGTGACAATTGCAATGTAATTGTGGTATTTAAACAGGATGAGATTAACCTTAAACATATTTTCGATGAACACGTAACACCTGACATGTCCTTTGATGATTTCAAAAAGATATGTTCCGAATGTTGGAATGATAGATATGGTACTTTTGTAATCGCAAGACTTCACGCCAAGATGTCGACATATACAGCTCGCAAAAATCTATTCGAAAAAAGTACTTGGCTCTGAAATGAGGTAGAACGGAGGAGGATGAATCTATTAATAGATTATTTAAACCAATTGCGGAACCTCTGAGAAAAATTCAAAAAATTTCAAATGACTTTGGTATTAAAAATGTGTCAAAGATCGAGCCGAAAACAGAGCTAACAAATCTCTCTCTCTCGCTACATCAAAAAATAAAAAATATCCCGATAGAGATCATAGTTGAAGATTCTGGAGGTAGTACCATTGAAGAATTTAGTGAAATCGATGAACCTGAACATACTGAAGAACGGTTGGCACCAGAAGCAGTTGAGCAATACCTTGAACAGTATCCGCCAATGAGTCAACCATACATTCAAGATTTTTGGAGTAAGATGATAAAATTGCATCCCGTGTTTTTGTCAAAGTTTATGCGCTTGTCTTTTTCAAGTTCATATATAGGACGACCATACACGGGATCGATTTTATCATCTTTACTCCAAAAATTTTGAATGTATGGTTGACATGATATTATCAATTGCCTCTTATAATTTCTGAAAGACACCAAGATTCGTCTATGATTGGAATCTTAATCTTGTTTCCTCTGTATTATACATATTTGTTTACCCTCTTACCGAGGCCTAATTTAGTTTGTCTATTAAAAAAAAAAGTACTGATGGGTCCCTGGACGAGAAGCGAGTGTTCCCGTCCTATATTGTTTATTGTTTTTCTTCTTCTTACACCTTTTGCTGTTAGGAAATATTCTTAGGTAGTTCTAATTAAGGACGAATCTGTATCTGGCTGAATGGCAATGTGCCTAAGTAAAAAAAAACAAAAAATACTGCGGCAAACGCGTTGTCAGATTTACGACGTTCAAAAGCTATCGAGGATCGGAATGCATTTTTAATGAATCAATAGCGTTAATAAGTCTATAAACGATCGTTCTTGCAACAGGCTGTTAGATTTCTGCATTCATGGAAATAAAACAAATAATATTAAAAAATAAAACAACTCCAAATCAATCCCACATATATATGTGGGATTGATTTGGAGTTGTTTTATTTTCTCATTGAAGATGGCCACATTTGAGAAGTTGGATTCCCTTCATAGCTCAAATAATATTACCTGGTTTTTTGTTTGACAATAGACTTACTTGCTTACAGCTGCTGGCCACAAACTACTATACTCGGTTTGTAATTCTAAAGCGTTTTCATCTTTCAGGATGTTGAACATTTTCGTCAACATCGAAATTACCACGTTGAGGCACCAAGTGTCCTTTAACTTGAAAAACACGAACGACAAGTTGTTTTTCACATTCGAAGTATCGCTGAACCCACTGGTGTTTCTCTTCGATTGTGTAGGAGTTGAAGCAAATACTGGTAATACTAAAATTATAGTTACCAAGTCAGAAAAGAAATAAAACCAATTTTTCAATATATTTTGTATCTGTTTAACTATTAACTTTTTTATATTATTAATAATTGTTTATATACTATTTAAAATGTTTAAATTTAAAGGTACCATTTGGGAACGCGCGAAAAACGACAGGAGATCGAGACAGCTGTAAGGCGGCTAATATTGCCATACTAAATCTACTGTCGTCGGTTACGTCTACCGAAATGTACTCCATAATTACATGTGTTCAAGACCGTTTCGGTCTCCCTCGTTCCCGTCTTACGCTTGAAGTCTGTCTCGGGTCGCGACTTTCCAAATGGTAGCTTAACCACCTTATAGGGTGTTGCCATATTCTACCAACAACGCTCTTTTGGGAATTTAAGGATTTAGTTTCTAGTATAAAAAAATATTTGAAATTATACTGCTAATTTAATTTGCAATGTAATATCACAACACTCTGCATATTATTTCAGAGTAGAAATATTAAACACTCCGGATATTATATAATAATTAAAAACATTTTACCTAAATCCCAAAGATTTTTTGACAATTTCTTGGTTCCCTTATGTTTAGAAAGTTCCTGACAATTTAATGCAATGGTCGAAGTTATCTCGAATGTGATCCATCGTTTGTCGAGATTAATTAAAAACTCCCAACGTCCTAAATTAAGTAAACATATAGCACAGTGTTCGACAACTTCGCTTCTTGGTATCACAGAATCGTTTACTTGTAAACATACTTCACAAGCATCAGCTAAAGTGTTCGTCAATACAGTGTTTTTATCTAAAATAAAATTATTTTGAAATGTTTTTCGATTTTTAAGGAATAAAAAGCTTACCAACTACATTTATTGGCCACTGATCTAACAGTTGAGAAATTTGAACAAGTAAAATTTCCCAATGGACGAGTTTTAAGAGTTTCGAAACATTGATATTGGTTCCTTGTAACTCTTTTTCTAAAACTAGTAAAAACTCCAACGAGACATTGAAGTTCCTATTTAGAAGGTGCTCTTTTGATTTGGCCAGCATTACGTATGAAAAATCTTGTACGAAACCTAAAATAATTTTATGCATTTAAAAAATAAAAAACAGTGAATTTTTTAATAGCAGGAAATATTATTAGAAATGTGATATGATAAAATTAATTTTTGATCGTTTATTTAAATAGATATTTAGTATGTTAGTAGAAATATGTCATCTACATCCATCTCCTAGCATCATGAGGAAATTTTACAGACTTTCAGTGGTCAAAGACGACAGTAGTTCAGATTTAAATTTTCAAAATGAGTTGATAGACTAGGTTCGAATCCTGCAACAAACCATGAGAATTTATCATTGATTTTCATGGTTTGTTGTAGGGTTTAATGAGTGGCATATTACCATTCAGATTTTTCCCAGTGAACTACAGTGTCAATGTACAATCAGTCATCTGTAAGTCACCTCAGATCGCCAAGGTAACTAATAATAATAATAACCACCATTCCTGAGACTCGCTTTGTATTCATTGTTTGATGGATGCCTTAGCAATTATATAGAAAGATTCAGGGTCTATCATTACCTTATCTGAGCCCTCTCGGGCAAATTGGTCTGCCTTTTAATTTCCCTGATATCTTTTGTGGCCCTGGTATCAAGGCTAAGGAGAGAGGTGAACCACCCCCAAAATACTTACTCGACACTACCAAAAAATTTATTCTATACGTTGTTTAGGTACTGCAAAATCTATTGGGATCTGAAGATAAGCGATACGCCATTTACTGTGAACTAAAAGTTTTGGCGTTTGACCGTCTTTGTTCTGTCAAGTTTTGTTTATCGTTTAACAAGTATTTTGTTTGAAATATCTTATTTAATAATAAGCTAATGCTTTACATTTTTATCATCTATATTAAAATATATTATTTGGAATACCAGTGAAAAACACACTTGTTGTGTGCCTCAATGCAGTCCTAAAAAAATGGACCCTTCTTTTACATTTCTTCTACTTCCTAAAGTTGGTAAATGTAGGGTAATTTTTATAAAATGCAAGTGGAAATTCTGCAAGGTTACAAAAGTATTAAAGTATTTGTTCCCATGCATAGTATTTTAAAGAACATGATTATTTGCCTAGAGGTAATATAGATTTATTTTTTGATTGAAAGTTTTTATTTTATCTTTTTTTGTGTTGTAGATGCCTCATCCAAAGTGAAAATAAATACTTAAAAAAAAATCGTTGTGCCTTCCTGCCAGTTTGACGATTCTGTTCGATAAACTTCAAAAATCAAATATTGGGAGAACAAAAAGAAGATCCAAACCTTAGGATAAAGATTCTGTGTCCAAATTAAAAAAAGTTCAATCAGTGTTAAATATCGTCGGCGACACAGAAAAACTCGTAACTCACACAAAATCAAAAAATGATATTTTTGCGCCATCTATTTCCTAGAAGCATAACCTATGTATTTAGAAATGCTTATAACTCCATTAAAATTCCACAATATTATAGGAAATTACAAGTAAACCTCTTAACTCCAACGATAAAAATAATGTCTAGGAAATCCTCGTAACTCCACTTGTTTCCATTTTGTTACGTGACCGTCAACATGTGCCTCCGTTTGTATAATTGTTTTTTAGTACCTGTGTAAACTTTGCTATTTAAATTGTGTTTTTTTGAAAAAAGTAAGTCATATTGTTTATCATATTTTATTACTATTATTATATTTCAAATTGTTTTTATAAATTTGTTGATTTCGTTTACCAATGGAGATACAAGGTTTTCTTATATCCATTAGTTGGTGTTATTGTGGAGTTACGAGTTCTACAAATTGTAAAATTTTGTTCCAGCTCACAATGTCGCGCTCAAAGAAGATGGTTCATTTGGCACTTTTAGTAGAAGAAAGTATTAAAAATAGTAATTCTTCATTTACACTTCAAATTGAATAACCTTCAAATAACCCAGATGGTATAGATGTTAGTTCTTTGCCCATTATACTCATAGATGAGCACGGAAATTCAACAGAATTGCCAAATAATAATTGTGCTCTTGAAGAAATTTATGCACAGCTCGAAAATAATAATTCTGTGTTGGAACAAGAAAATTTGATGGAACATGCTTTGGAAAATACAAAATTATTTCCAGCTGAAGAAAATAGTTGTCGATTTGCAGAGGGCAATGAATCTACGTCTGAAGGCATTGAAAATAGTCCTGAATTACGGGAACCGTACATTTTTCCGAGATAAAAAGTATGTGCTATTAAAGACTATAATCTATGTCTGTACCAAATTTCATCCAGATACTTTCAGCCGTTATGGCGTAATTGGGCAACAAACATCCATCCAAACTTTCGCATTTATATAGTAGTAAGATGTGTAAAAATTAACACTGTTTAAAATATAATAATTAATGCTAAATATGGGAGTAGCAGCTTTTAATTTTAGTTTAGAAATGTTTATTTATTGCGAATTTTTTAAAGAAACTAATATAATCTATCTACACCTTTAAGTAAATCAATATTTTCGCAGACACCTAAATATATCACAATGTAGACAAATAATAAAAATTATTTCATACCTCTTGGCAACGATTTGACTACACTCTGCAAAGGAATTGGCAATTCCCACTGAGGATTTATAGTCCAAACTGCAGTCCCCGCATTTATCATGGCGATTTTAACCAAAACTTCTTTAATATCTTTATGATCATTACAAGTTATCAATTTTTTTTCCAAACTTCTTAACTCTGCTTTAGGCTTTCCTAAAGAAAACAAATATTATAATAAAAAAATAAAAATGATAAAGTTTAATTTGTTGAAAAAAAAAAAACACTTACTTCGCTTGTTGATCTCAATTATTTCAGACTTAATAAGACAATCTGGAACCTCAAACTGAGGCTCGGAACCTAGAATAAAAGCAACATCGAGTTTATCTAAAACACAACCCAGTTCGGAATTGGACTGGATTTTTGGAAGTAAATCGGGAATATCATTTTTTAAAATAGATTCAATAATGAATTTTTTTATCATCTGTTTCTGTCCGTATGAAAAGAATTTCCAAGAACCTTGAATAGCCTAAAAATAACCTTATTTAGAAGAACAGTTTAATTATATACTACAGAACATTGTTATACCCATATTAGAGTATCTGTAGTTTTATAAGATGAAAGAGTATGATGATACATCGGCTTTTTATCCAATACGCATCTAATAATATTAAGAGCTTTAATTTTTTGCATCAGATCTCTAGCAACTGTAAAACCACCACTAGATAAAGCTCCCTGCAAGTCTAATTCCAAATTGATTCTGTGCATTATCGGAATTTCCCTGATTACGTTATCCTGTTGTAAAATTGAAATAATACCCTAAAAATGTTTACAGGTTTAAAAATAGCATTCAAATATATTTACCAGACAAACTAACCTTATACTGATTAACCACAGATACATTGAGTTGTTCTAAAAGACTCCCTTTTTGAATGTCTGCTGATCCGTGACAGGCTTTAATGTAAACTTCCAACATTTTTTTATCAACATCATAAAATCCATTAATTTCGGGTATATCGGCAAATAATTCGAAGCATTTAGAAAAGTGTTTCTTTGCCAAATCGTATTGTTCGCGATAGAAGAAAAATACTCCCAAATCGTAGTTAATTTGAGCACAGAATTCGTTTCGTTTCAACTCTTCACTTTTGGACCAATCGAATTCGATACAATCATTGTTTTCGGTTGGTAACTTGAAGCAATCAAAAGTTAAGACAGCAGGTACTAATTGCCAATCTAGAGCTTCGGTGAGGAAGTTTACAGTTTTGTTTATATTTTCTGGACAGCATATAATATGTTCATCTGCTATTGATATATCGTTGACACTATTAACAAAAATGTAATGTTAAAGTTAGAACATAACTATCTTTAATTTAATCACACAAATTTATATATTTAAACAAAGTTATGTGACAAGTTTCAGCCTTAGACCATCGTAAGGTCTATAATTAGTTTAAAGTTTAAACAATTGCCGAAACATCTCAAGCTGAAACTCAAACATTAAATAGTTACTCCCCTCAAAGAGAAACGAGTTGATTTGAGCGTGGGGAAAGATTATTAAAAAAAAACCCGTAAGGTAAAGATACCAGTAGTCGACACCTTAAGAAAAATATAATGGCAAATTTCATAAATTTGCCTCTATATTTTGTTATCAACTTCAGATAGAACACCTTAAGTTTGGTCTAGGTAAACATTCATATTAAAATGATAGATTGTTTTAATTTTCTTTTTGGTAATTTTTTTTTTTGATTTCATGCATTTGCTCCAGAGGTTGACAGGTGCAGATTAGCTAGTTCTAGTAGTTGACATGATTTGCTCCGGTAGTTGACATCCTACTTAGTGAGGTTAATAAAACAAACAATTTCGGATCCTTTCACCCTTTAACACTAATTCAGTATGCTCCAATTGACAAAAATTTATTTCGCTGATGTCCTTTTCAACTGCTATAAATTCTTTGTGAGTGTTATCAATGCATTTACAACCCATAACAACAATATTTTCAGATGAAATTAATGTTTGAACAACACACACAAATTTAAACTCCAACGAATTTTGTTTGGTTAGGAATATAATCGCCTTCCTTTAATTCACTATAACTCATGTTATTGGCAATTAATACGTCCTATTCATCTTCACTTTCTAATGTTTCCGACACATCAGATTCTTGAAGAGAAAACAGAGTAGAAGAATCATTTGAAGAACTTGAAGAAGATGAGAGACATCTTTTCTTTTGTAGTTGTAGCTTTTTGGTCTTTTGCTTAGATTCTGCCTTTTTTGTTCCATATTCCTTTTTTTCTCTCTTCTATAGCTAATTTCCGTTCTTCCTTTTGTTTTCCATCTCCTTTTTGATATTCAACTTTTTATTAAAATATTCCAACATTTGTAGAGAAGTAGCAATGGCTGGTAATTTTTCTTTTCTTTTTTTCTTAACTTCAATTGGGCCGTCTTCCTTCCAAAACAAAACTCTTTTAAAAGGGGAAGGAATGTTTTCTTTATGATCAGTAAATCCCTTCACTAAAGGGGTCTCTGGTGCTACTCGTGACTCTGAAGTTGATGCTTCTATAATTATTGGTCCAGCAGGAAAAATGTTTGTGTCTTGAGACACTACATCTAAGAACTCCGGTTCTTGTATGGATGCCAGTTCATTAGATTGCTGAAAAAATTATATTTAGTTCTAGTAGTTCATATGTATATAAAAGTAATGTTACTTTTTCTTCAGTATTTTGAGGTTGGTGGTCATGCCACAATTTCCATAAATTAAATAAAGTAGGCCTTTTCCATTCATTTTGACTGTCCATAAAATATGTTATTTTATTCTTGCCGATTTCACGTTCTAATATTGTAAAAAATAGTTTGTCCTCTGCAGTTTTTGTCATTTAAAGTTTTAGTTTCTGCACTTGGCTCTCCATTAACCTTAACTGCCTTTGGATCCCAAGGAACCAAGCCACATTTTTTATTGTTAAATCTTTAATATGAGGAAGAACTTCTTTTAATACTGTTGCAAAATTGTACTTATTAGGAGACACTCCATTATGTTGAATTTTCCAATCTGCAACTTTCTGTCTCCAAATGGTTTTTAAGACATGAAATACAGAAACATCCATTGGCTGCATAATGTGTGTAGCATTTGGATATAATGCTATTAATTCAATATTTTTGTCAATACAAGTTGTAATAATAGGTGGAAAACATGTCCATCTAAGAACATCACAATTGGTCTAGGAACACCTTCCTTTTCAAGCCAGGGTACGAAAATATTAGCAATGTATTCAAGGAATAGCTCTTGAGTCATCCACCCTTTTTTAGACTTTCCTATTACCCAGTCAGAAGGAAAGTTTTCAGCTATACCTTGTGGGGAAGATCTCAAATTGTAGCTATAGAAGATGCTAAATCCGCTCCTGGGCTAATAACAGAAGGAGTTCCCAGGGCTCACTTTCAGCCCCACTATTTTTCATCTTGTTTATAAGCGACTTAGAATACTCATGTCCAACACCTAGAGTAACTACCGTTGGTTATGATGATGACACTAATCAACTTATTGCTGAAAACAATCTGTCTTATACAGTTTCTGCCTCAAATATTAGCGCAAATGAATTCCAACATTGGTGCTCTATTGCTTAATTCTAATAAAACAGTATGTATGCTTTTTCAACCAAAAAATTCAAGCCTCAATGAAAGTCAATTAATAAAAATTGAACATAAATCTCTACACCAGGTAAGGGAGGTCAAGTTTTTAGGTCTAACAATCGATCACAAGCCACATAGATAATCTTGCATCTAAGCTATGTAGCATTTGCTTTGTTATCAGACAACTTAAATCAACTGTGACTTTGGATGTACTAAAACTAACCTACTACAAACTAGTTCATTCGGTACTTTCATATGGCTTGATTTTCTGGGGAAATTCAGCCCATATGAATATAGTCTTTCTCTTGCAAAAAAGAATTATTAGATGCATGATCCTTCGGAACATTGTCAGAAACATTTTATCAAGTCATCAATATTAACTCTTCCATGCTTGTTTATTTATCTATCGGTGTTACATATTAAAAAAAATCTTTCACATCAAACAACTAATAATATGTGTTGAATCCTAATCATTTCAAATTTTTATTTGTCATTTCAATGGGTAATTTATTAAACAATTCATTAAGTCACGTGTAATTTGAGTTACCTATTAGTAGATTCAAATCAAAGACATTTTGTAATATCTTTGATTAAAATATATTTACGCGTATTTTGAGACCGAATCACGATTGTAGATTCGTATGATGAAAAGAGCTTTGAAAAGGTCAGTACGAAATAAACCGTTTCGAGAACCGGTAATCTTAAAATTTTTGCTGCAAAACGTTCTTATCTGTAAAATTAGAATAAAAACCTGTGGTAGGAAAAAAGCCTGGATCATCCCTTATCCCTTGGATACCGGAATTAAGGAGAGCTCTCACGTCACCCCTAGATGTAGTTTGGGTAAGTGATTTGGTCTCAATCGTTTTTTCTTAACCGTTTTATTCTTTTTAACTATTATTTAATAGAACAATTTTGAAAGACATACAGTCTATTTTTCTCTGCTACTAAATTTACTATAGGCGCACGCGCATTGACGTATTAATACGTGAAATTAGCAGAGAAATGAAATATTCTGTGTGAAACAGACAAGTAAAGTAAATGGTGCTTTTAATGTACGCATTCAGCAGAAGCAATCGATTTATGATTTTCTGCTGAATGATATATGAAAGAGCGATTATTAATCAAATGATGAGTTATCGGCCGCCATTTAAAACATTGAATTTGAAATACGATTAGTTATCACATCGTGATTAGATTTAGAACTCATACCAACTGAAGTGAATGTTTTGTGGTGGTGCTTATAACTCATAACCTTATTTTATGTTTATTTTGAATTCATTTTTACACTGAATTTGTTATTTTTCACTTAAATGAAGGACTTTGAAGTGATATATGTTTATAACAATATGAAATATATTGTAGTTGGTAATGAAGTAATGCATTAAAATCAGGCAAATACATTAATTTATAATTATGTTAGTTGAGTAATTTATTTGGTGTTTTATTCTAAATTTTGTCCCTATGTTTTAGATGATGACTTTTTTCTGAAGTACATGTCACTTTTATGTCGCCTGTCGAAGTGCCTAAAAAGTTCATTCAGGAAGATTCACTAATCGATAAGTCATCGCTAAGTTATCGTTTGATAATCGATTGCTTCTGCTGAATGCGGCCATTATCAATTTGACACTAGTTGACTTGACAACAACCAAATACAGCATAATAACCACAAAAAAAAACACAATAAAACCTACAAAATCAAACAAGCGAACTTTATTCAAGGCGATAATGTAAAATTGTCGCTAATTAAAAATAAAAGGGAACAGAAAATACCGTCGTGTCAACTTTTTCTATGAAAAACTTCTGCGCAACATTTCGGCGCACTTTTAGTACTAAATTTAGTAGAAAATAGAACAAGATCTAATTAATTAATGACTTTTTTTAGTACTAAATTTAGTACTAAATTTGCTGTTTGCAACGTGAATTTTTTTAGTACTTAAAAAATGCATTAATTTAGTTCTAATTTAGTACTTAATTTAGTATCGTGACATACAGCCTTAATGAAGAAGACAAAGAAAAAAGATGAATACCGACGGCGTAACCTTAAACAGATTGCCAAAATAATAATTTACAGTTTTCTTTTTTATTTTATTAGTTGTTATGCAAACTTATAGATGGCGCAAAGATCTTCCAATGACCTTGCAACTTCAAGATGTCTTTTGTTCAGAAGAAAATTTACTTGATGGTCCCATTTTTCTACAAATTGGAATTTGCCCTTTATGTTTGCCCATTAGCGTTATTCTTTGCTGCAGCATTGTATGACATTCCTCTATTCACATCTTCTATAGTAGCTAACATATTTGCCTCAGGGTAATTTAAAATCTTTTTACGTTCCATCTGTAAATAAGAATAAACAAATAAATCAGCAGATCATATAGCTCCAATGCCATTCTCCAAAAGTCAACATGTCATGTCGGGCTTTGGATCCACTTGAAATATTCGTTTCAAACAAGTAGTAGGCAGAATGTCACAAAATATTTGACATACTTACCAACCCATTTAATATTATTTAAATTTCCTTAAGTCGACATGCCTGTCGACTACTAGAACTAGATCTTTTTTCTGTTCCAAGTCTACAAGCTGGTTTTTTCTTGTTACAAACATGTCCTAACTATCTTAACAAATATATTCTGTTAACCATTGCTATTACTAGTAAAGTAATGAATTTTTTTAAAACAAAACTTTTTAATATCATTTGGTAATACTTACTTCTTACTAAGTCACACAACAACTTTGCACAAAATGGCACCTGATGCACTCACTTTCAATGTTACCTGTGTCATTAACATGGATGAAAAAACTTATGAATTCAAAAATATATAAGTAGATTATTTAGGTTTTTTAAGATTTTGTAGGTTTTTAGTTCATATGTCAAACATTATTGTCACTATCATTAATATCAAGAAGAAGTGATTATAATCTTTGATGAAACGTTTGCATTTGTTTTTATATACACTTATTTTTGCATTCTTTCTCCTGAGAGTTGATTAGTAAAGTTGTGAATTCTTAATATTTATCTTAAATAACCTAAAAAACCTAAAATTGTAGATTTTTTAAAAAACCTAGGTCCAAAAAAATCTGTACCTGCCAACTCTGGCATTTACAAAATAAGACTGGAGACTGGGATATGCAATACTTAATAGGTCACTGGTAGGTACTAACAATGATGCCAAGTGATATATTTTGTTTTAGATTTGCAGACTTTTCTTGTTTGTGGTAGTATAAAATTAAGGTGTCAACTTTTGGAGCACTGTTAACTACTGGTATCCTTACCTTAAGTATTACTTAATATAAAATAAAAAAATAATGTCTGTTGATTAAAATAAAGCAACCAATAATAATTCAGCGAAGGGTGCACACTATAATTAATTAGCCTTTAGACCTGATGAAGGCCTAATTAACTTTGAATAAATATTTTTTAGGTGGGATTATCATTCTTATTAATTAAGATAACATTAGATTTACTTTAGGTTTATAATTAAATTAATTACCCGTATCTTGTTTGCCAGTTAGATGTAATCCTGTGCATGGAAGTACTTAATAACCAACGGTGAAATAGTAACAAAGCAAATAAGTATGGAGGTGAAGCAGTTTTAACATCCTCTTCTTCAACATTTGGTATTTCAACAGTTTTCTTATCATTGGTAAAGTACATTAAATCTTGTAAAAGACTTATTTGAGTTTTAAATGGTAGATTTCTCATTTCAACTAAAAACAAATTGGTAAATGCTATAAAAGTAACTCCATACCTTAATGTAATAAGTGTATTTCAATTACAGACTTCACCTATTCAAATAATTATTAATAATAAGGGGGGATTGTTTTTACTGAGGCAAAAAATAAATTTAGTATCGAATTAAAATGTTTTAACTTTGTTTTTATTAACATAAAAACATTCTAAATGTTCTAAAAGTTTTAGTACATTCTCAATAAAAATGAGACAGTGAATTTACCTAAATTCCATTTTAAAAAGGCTCCTACTTTTAAAGAAAGAATCTTTAATGCTGTTGTCTTAGCAGGTGGTTTCGTTTTTCCATTATTAGTTTCCACGTTAATAATTTCCCCATTTTCAGTGTCAGGATTGTTTCGAAGAGTTTCAGATATCACATCATAAAACTTTGTAATCAGTTCTGAGGGAGGTGGTTCTAAAAGGATAATACTACAGTGAAATGATTTGTCACAGAAAAAAGTTTAATAAATTACAATTATAGGTCAAATTACCTGCAGAAAACTTTTGTAAATGTTTAAGTAGAAGACCTGGATCTAAAAGAAATTCAAACCATAGTATTGTTTCTGGTGAAATAGGTACACTTGCTGGCCTTAATAATTCTACTTCCATGGTTTTATAATTAACAAAACATGCGTAAATTCAAATTGGTACGAGATTTGTGCATTTTATTTAAGAATAACAATAACTAATCGAATTCTCTGTTTTCGTTGCACATGTTTGTTTACAATTTTCTGAAACTGAACTCGCAACAAGCATGTGTCACTGTCAGTTGTTGTCAGTTGTCAAATTTATTTTCTGGCCTCCATCCAGGTAGAATTTTAATTTTATTTTATTGTTATTTGCATCCAGGGTTGCCAATCGTACGATAATTACCGTACATAAAAGTACGGTAATCACATAAAAAGTACGGTAAACATACAGTATTTTGAACAGTATTAGCAAAGACTTGATTTGTCTAAGGGCCGATTCGTTGTGTTAAACGAAGTTTAAATTACTGATTGAAGATTAAAATGACATTGTTTAATGTAAAAATGCCATTTTAAACATCTTTTTACACTTCTTGATGGCGTGAATTTCCGCCTGGAAGATGCTTGGGTATTTTCCCAAGCTTTCAGAGTGCTTGGTTCTCGGCCCATACACTCCTATTCCAGTTCCTTCTATGGTTTTGGAACCGTCCGTATACCACTGAATAGCATGTCTTTCGGTTGCAAGCGCGATGGATTCTTGGCTCCATTCTTTCTTGCAGCCCAGCTCTGTGGTTTTAAAGTTTTTCACAAAACTGTACTTCTTTAGCATTTCATCCTGGGGCATGTCCCAGGTATCTTTAGTCCTGAAGCAAGTAGACTTTCGAACTGTAGAGGGGTGAGGTTTAAGATCACCTCCATTGTGGCCGTAGGACAGGTTCTTATTGCACCAGTAATGCAAACACAGGCTAGTCTTTGTACTTTTGAGGTATTAGCTCTCGTAGTAGCTAAACTAGTTCTGTTACTCCAAGCTATAGCCTCGTAAGTGATGATTGGTCTCCCTATTGCAGTATACATCCATCGCAGTATGTTTGGATTACATCCTCATCGTTTGTCTGCAATGTTTCTGCATGCCATTAGGGCTTTTGTGGCCTTATTTACTACTTCCTTCTCATGCGTGTTTCAGAGAAGTTTGTTGTCCAGTGTTCGACCTAGATATTTGACTTCATTTTCAATTCTATATTTATTCTGTTTAATTTAACGGTTTTGAGATTCTTTTCTTTTCCTTGAAAAGGCTATTAGTGTTGTTTTTGTAGGGTTTATACTAAGTCTCACTTCACGGCACCATCTTTTGGTATGTTCTAGTCCTCGTTGGACTATATCACACAGGATATTACTAAACTTGCCTCTAGCAAATATGACTATGTCGGCATAACCTTGACAGGGTACATCGAGTTAAGTCAATCTGCATAGAAGTTCGTCTACGATTAGGCTCCACATTAGTGGGGATAGAACTCCTCCTTGTGTACATCCTCTGGTTGTGCAGATGGAGATGGTGCCCTGCCCTATCTCTATCTCTGCAGTTCTCGTAGATAACAACTGAGCCATCCATCTGGATTATGATGTTATCTACTCCTCTGTATGCAAGTGCTCTTTTTACAGATTCGTGTGACGTGTTGTCAAAAGCTCCATTCTATGTCTAGGAAGGCACACACGACCGTTTTTTTGCTCGTCAGAGTGCATTAGACAAAATCATAGCCCTATAGCCATTGGTGGGATTCAAACTTGGGCTCTGTACTCTGTACAGTCACAATTGCAAGTTATAAGCATTGCATTGGGATACGGCACGTGTTGATACGATCGACTATCTTCGTTCCACAGAATGTGATTCGTATGTAATGTCTCTCTCTACTTGATTCGTTACGTTTTGAGTACGCAAATAAAAATCCCTGTCCTGGTTCCATTTCCAGTAATGTAAGAAATGATCTAGGATTAAAATTCTTCTTCTTCTTAAGTGTCAGTTTGAATTTAATTCACAGCCGTGCGTAGTTATCATGGTCATCATATCTCTCTGTCTTCGACGCTCATGGCCTACTTTAGAAACATTTTTTGTGAATCATTCTGAGTAGTTCATTGTAATTTGTATAATATATATTACAAAAACCTACCGTAAATATTATAGGTGTCGCCTTTTTTTTAAATAATTATTTTGTAAGATGTCTTTGTTCTAGTAAAAAAACAGTTAAATATATTTTCAGAAGTTTTCTGGATTTCTGCTTTAAGTTATCGTAGTATCTAATTGACTATAATAGTTTATAAGCTCGATTTTTAAAATGACCATGCTTTGACCGAGCATGCTCAAAAAGTTTAGAATTTGCTTCTGGAATAAACCTACTTTCTCGCTATTTCCAGATGTTTACGAGATTTAGTTTTAATCCTCTACATATTCTTCGCCCCTGGTAATAGCCAGAAATTATTTTTTACAATAGGTAAAAATAAATAAGTGGGTAAAAATAATGTTTACATTTTTAAATAAAACACCATCTACCTATCTTGGTTAGGAGGAATATTTATCTAAGTATTTTAGGTAAAATCGTCATTATAGTTTGGTTCAAGAATTCTCTAGTCAATACTAATACACGCACATTTAATGTCTTTTCAATTTTTGTAGTAATTTCTGCACCCTCATTTTAATAATCTACCTGTAAGTAATCTTAATTATCCAAATTTCCAAAAATCAGTAGAAAATGTAAATTTCAATCATTACGGCAACCATGTAGAAGTTTTTAAGCCGAAACTCCTTTTTTGTCTTAGTCGGCTTTGGTAATGCGTTTACACTACAAGTTAGGGCCAATCAGAAAACTCCGTCAAGTGTCTAGTTTTTCATTTTGTTTTATTAAAGATGTCTAACAAGAAGTGAATAGTGAGTGATGTGATAGTAAAATATATCAAAGAAAATGATATAGGGTAAGTGTATTTATGCACATCAACATAATTTAAAAGATATTTATTTTATCAATATTTGAACTAGGTGGGTATATAGATAATATATTTGGGGATGTGTCGTGATTCTTCCCATATACCTACATAGCTACGTACTTAGGATTGCAATTTTAGATGAAAATATGTAGTCAATGAATAAACTATAATAACCAGCTTTGAACCACGGTTTATTTTGAAAAAAGTGTAGTAGGTATTAGTATGTAAATTTTAAAAACTTTTAGCGTATTCCTCAATTTACGTTTGAGCAAGTTGACTATGTCTAGAGTCTAGGTACTTACCTATCTACAGCTAAAAACAAACATTTTTACGTTCAAGTATATCTGAACTGAAAGTTGTTTCTTCCAAAAGGATCCTATAAAAACAAAAAATATTGACTGTAGACAAAATACTACCCACTACCCAATAATCTTTATAAAACACCTAAATATTGTTTCTTATTGATGACTTTTATGTTAAAACTTTTTGTCTAGAATAAAATATTAAGTATTTTTTCTATTTCAGCTTGTGTTTTCGGTAGTTCAGTGGCGTAGATTATCGTGTAGAGGTAGGAGAATGAATGCACTGAAATACATAAAGTAATCTCAAAATTTAAATAGGTATACCTAAATATTTAATAAGTAATTAATATTATACGTGTAAAAACTATGTAATTCAAGGGCTTATTTGAGGAAACACGTCTTCAAATGTCAAAATAAACTTCTAAAACTACTAGGTACAACTTTGTTAAAACGGAATAACTTAATTTTTCGGCTAATGATGGGTCTTTCTATTTAGTTTATGGCTTTTGTAACCTTATTTTTTATTGTCGTGAAGTAAAAATGTCTTTATTTTGAAAAGTGTGGCTTGTCATGTTTTTATAATAAGGCCTTCAATTATTGATTTAATATAAATAAATATATAGCTACTTTAATCTTCAGCAAAAAATATATTTTTGGGATTCACTCGATTTTAAAAATTTTGGTAAATCTCTAGGTTGGTTTTTAATTCTTAGTCCTAGGTAAAAAACATTTTTATATTTAAAAACTTTTCATTAAATAAAAAAAATATAAAAAACAATTCAAAAAATGCCTGAAACACTAAATAATATTTAAAACGACCAATGAAAAAAAAAATTAAATTATTGAAAAAATAGAAGGTTAATGTAAATAATTACTCAATTTAAAGGAATTATTTGCGGAATTAAAAATTATTCTAATCAATAATTTTAGTTTGACACATTAATGTTATATTTTTAACTAAATTTTTCGATAGGAAACTTTTTAAAGTTTTTTGAGTGTTTCGCATCGTTGCTGTTAATACAAACGTTTAATGTTTTTATATTTACATCAACGATTTTGTTTGGGATCATTCCCTTCCTCTCTGACAATAAAGATGTTTGATTCACGCTATTTATGTTCTTTGGAATTATTTATTAAGAGGTTACGTTACATCTCAGAATTTAATCCTGAGATGTGTTAGCTCTACAATAATTAATTTCTGATGTAAATTCTTGGATCAAATAGACAAGGCTGCAGCAATACTGCCTGGTGATATCTCAAATAATTATTTAGCTTACCTGAATCAATCACAGATACAAACTTCAAATTCTTGTTTTTTTGTTTTTGTAATAACTGTAAAGTGTTTGATTCTGGAATGTTAATAAATTGTAGAGTATCTAGGGGCTGTTATTAGAGGCAGGGAATGATAGAATGATTGTTGATGTTGGAATGAACTGACGTCGCCGGGAACAGAAGATTTCCGGAGTGTAAGAAAATGTCGGGATATAGATCGAATAATGGGTAAAACGTAAAGGAAAATGGACCAGGCATTAGCGGGACGAGAAGAAAGAAGAGTTTTTATAGGGTGAGTCTTTTTTATATATTATAACGAAAAATTCGATTTTTGCTATTCTATTCCGTTTAAAAACTTACAATCACTTCCAGCAAGTGTATTTTTGACTTGCAAAAAAAGTGTATGGAAAATTTATTAGAAGTTTACAAATTCTTATTTATAATCTGAAGTTTTTAAAATTCATATTTTTAAAATCGAAGCAATCTTATTTTTGTATATTTACAAAATAAAATTAGCAGACAATTTTCATTCATAAATTAATTTTTAAAAACATTATATATAAGTTCAATATCACAAATTTATATCCAATTTAAAAATAAAAAGTTGCAGGCACTTGCCGTAAATTTATTTTGGCTTAGAAATAACTTATGTAGGTAAGTATATGGAAAAATTATTGTAATTTTGCAAATTTTAGTTTATATTCTGGAGTTTTTACTACCTATCTTCTTAAACGAACATTTAGATATATTTTTAAACTATAAGTGAAGGTGTAGGTATTTAAATCTATTTGTGTAACTTATGAAAATCAAATTATCGGAAAATGTATTTCAAAACTTCATACAGGTGCAATAACAATTTAGAAGGTATTGATTATAGAGCATTGACTGTGGACTGTAATTATTTCGAATTCTTTATTGTAAGAATAACTATAACATGAATATAAAACGTGATTGACAAGCGTGTCTCAAAATTCTATTATTTGTCACTTCAAAAACTCCTGAAATCAAGCCTTCTTAAGGGTCTATTCTGTAACAATTCCTTTATATTTAACGGCCTTTAAAAATATTGGCGGCCTTTAAAAACATTTTCGTATTCGTTAATTTACTTCTGTCATTATTTAAACGGATTTCTTTAAGATAGTCCTCTAATGTATTTTAAAGATCCGTTTAAATAATGACAGAAGTAAAGAAGAAAATATTTTTAAAGGCCGTTAAATATAAAGGAATTGTTACAGAATAGACCCCTTAGACGGCATAGGCGTAGACAGAAGGTACAAATCAGAGGCGAACTGAGGTTTACATTCTTTGTCTTCTCAATATTTCGAAAGGAACGAAGTGATAGGCTTGTTCTGGTTTCTTCAAAATGTACTACAAACCGTCCAAAATTCAGTAGAACAGTTAAATATTAAATTATTCGTCGCTTAAAACTTTTAAACATTCTACTGATTAGCTGGAATATATTTTTACCGAGCCATAACAGACCCAATATAACGTTTTTCACTGGAAATGGCATACTCAACGAGTATATTTGTGTCCTTCTTTATGATGAGTGAGCGCAGACGAGTGAGAGGATTTTACTTAAAATAGATGTCAATTAACCAACATAAAAACACATTAATTTGCGCGCCTTTTCACAAAGAAGGTATCACGCCACAAAATAGGGCAGGGCATACGAACCTTGCCAAACCAGTGTTGCCAGTCTAGTACAATTTACAATTGTACTAGATGTAGTACGTTCTCGAAGAATCTAGTACTTTTTCTTCCACGGCGTGCATTTTTTTGGTTGTATTTAATAAAAAAGAATACCAATTATAATAAAAATATTTGACAGTATAAACACCTGAATTACTTAAACATATTAACACGATTGGATAGATAATTAAAAATACTTTTCAAATGATGTATCGCATGAAATATATTTCTATTTATAAAATATCAATGACGTCGTCACTATCACGCAGATGATGTCACAAACAAAAATAATATCTAACCTTTGAAAATAAAAATATGCGAATTTCAGGAATTATCTAAGGTATTCTGTTTTCTCTTACTCATTGTTAATTTCTGTTGTGTTTAGTATCTGCAAGTGCAAGAACAAAAATAATTTGTAACAATGGTAAATTTTAGATATTATAATCACATAAACTTAAATCTAAATTACTAAACTTCATAAAAATACCTGTAATTTTTTAGGTACTAGTGGTATTAAAAGTGAAAATTTTGTTTGCTATAAAATTACTAAATCCAATTTCTATTGGTACGAATTTTATTTGAATTTTAAGTGTTTGTACGTGATTTTACAAAAATCTAATAAAATAGTAGATATGTATTATTACTAGGAGATAAGCTTTTAATTTAAATAACATCATCTATACTTTTCGTGTCTTATATCTTATCTTAAAGATGTGAGATAAGATCTTACATAAGTATGGAATTAAATAAAAACAATTTATTTTAACTTAGATAAGTATCTACTTATATAATATGGAGTAGAAACATAAATAAAAGTAAAATTTTGTTCGAAATGTTAGACGAAGTTACAAAAAACGAGATTTTTTCTATAATAGAAACGGCCATGGAAGACGAGAATTTGTGGAAATACAAAATGGATTTAAGAGAACAAAATCATGTCATATACGGTGGACATGATTTGTTAATTAGTGCTAATATATTTGCCTTGGACCACAATAGTCACAGACGCTGTATGCATCTGTATATAAAAATAAGTGAAAAATCTAAATCCAAAAATACTTTAAACAAAAAAGTTTATCGAAGAGAAAAATACGTTTTTGTGAAAATTATTAGTGCAATTTTTAATTTTTTAAAAACAAATATTTCTATTTGGTACCGACCTTGTGATATGGATTTTATTCCAGTACCATACAAAATGTTTTCTACGGAAACCCGAGAAGTTTTAATGTTTAATTCAATAATACATCTAGGCTACAAACCACATACTGACGAATTGTTTGCAACGCCATCAATGAAATACTGTATTTTGAAACATATGGCTAATTTGCACGCCATTTCGTTTGCCTTTCGTGTACATAAACGAGAGGAATTCGAAGAAATTATGAGAGAGTGGCAAGAAGAAACAAGTACGAAAGAGATGTTCCTTCAACTTCCCAATATTGAGCAAAAAGTCCAAGTTGGTTTGGAATTGACAATGGATATATTAGTTGAAGAAAATAGACTTGATTTAATTGAACTTCTACAGAAAGATATACAAGAAGGCGCTATGACCGTTATAACAAATATCCTTTCTGATGTTCCTGATGATAATGTTATAATTCATGGTGATTGTTGGATGCACAATGTTGTATCGAAAACTGTGGTAAGTACCTCTCTCTACCTACTTCTTCTAAAAATAGTCATTTATGTTCATTAATACATGGTGTTTCATTGGTAAATGGGTATATGTTAACTGCATATGGGGATCACCTAGGCTGTGCCAAAAACCCATACTTCATGGGTATGTCGCCCTTTATAACCGAGATACAGGGTGTATTATCAATTTTGTCGAATTATTTCTAGGCTCATACACCTTAATTTGTCAAATCCAGTGACGTATTAATAATAGGGAAAATCCAGGTCCGGATTAACAAAAAATTTACAAATTCTTCGATATTTAAAACAACACCCTGAACAAGGCAATAGCAGAACTTACAGTATGTCCCCCTAATTTGGAATCATATGGAAAACTTTTTTATTATTAATTTTAGGAAAAAAAGTTATTCTTCATAAAAAGTTTTGCATTATCTAAAACCTAGAATACAGTCATCAGATATCAAATTTTTTAAGCCGTATACGAGGTTTGTCAAAAAATATGAATTTTGCTCAAGAGTAAAGTACGTTTATTTTTGACAAAATCGAAAATTTTCATTAAGAAAAGTTGATTAGAATTTAAAATTACATTCAAATATGCAATTACACCGATCTATCTGAAAAATCAGATTTTTTCTAGATTTTGCATTGATCCATCTAATTACGATAATCCATAATTTTTTCTCTCTCTTCTCTACTATAAACATGAAACGCTTTCCTTTTCTTGATGTTTGTAAAGAATTTAACAATTTTCTTAAAGAAAATTTTCGATTTTGTCAAAAATAAACGTACTTTACTCTTGAGCAAAATTCATATTTTTTGACAAACCTCGTATACGGCTTGAAAAATTTGACATCTGATGACTGTATTTTAAGTTTTGGGTCATGCAAGACTTTTTATCAAGAATAACTTTTTCCTAAACTTAATAATAAAAAAGTTTTCCATCTGATTCCAACTTAGGGGGACATACTGTATATTGACCATATCTTCATTTAGACAAAAAATTCTGATTTAACCGAAAACTCAATTCCTATTGTTCTAAAAACCTACATCAGAGATCACTATACAACGTTACTACAGATAGTCTTGTCCCAAAATTTAAAACCAACCAACAATAATAACTTCAAAAAATTTATTAATAAACCAATACTTCTTAACAAATTTAAAAATATTCCATGGAAGAAGGTTTGCTCTGCTTCCACTCCTGACACTGCAACAACATTTATTGACATTGTTACAAAAGCACTAGAAACAGAAACTCAACGTATTCTTAGAAGCAATACCAAAATAGCACCCTGATTCACACACGGTCTACTTAACTCTATCAATAGGAAAAAATATTGTGTTTAAACCTACTCTATTATAGCCAAACGAATACAAAAATTATCGCAATAAATTGACTTCTTTAATAAATAAAACAAAATTGTATTACTATAAAAAAGAAATTGATATAAATCAAACAAATTCAAAAAAATCTCTGGAATATTATGCAGCAATTATCAAAAACCAAAAAACAAAAAAGATTGTTAATAGAATTAAACATCCCGACACTGGTGAGATTTAAATATAAAGGGTGCTTCAAAAGTTATGAGTCTAGAAAAAAATCGGCAAAATTGATAAAACACCCTGTTTACAGGTTTTTTTGAAACCACCGAGGTGATCTTCATATGGAGTTAACATATGTCCATTTACCAATGAAACACCCTGAATGATGAAGAATAAGTAGGCTATTCATTGTACAAATGTGGTTTGAGTTTCCTTCCCTTCCTTTTTACTTTCCTATCTGTATACAGATATAAGGAAAGTAGGGGAGTGTAGGTATGTTTGGGACGATTTTTACGTTTAATTTTTTTTTTTCATTTAAATATTATGAATTTGTCAATGTTGATCCATCATCCTACTTACTACTTTATTAGTAATTTAAGAGAGCATTAAACACTTTCATTTTCAAGTAATTGTGGTTAGCACAAAATAAAATATCTCTCTCTACAATATGTCCCAAACATACCTGCAGGTGGTATGTTTGGGACTGCAGGTAGGTATGTTAGAGGCAATTAAATTATACTTGAAGTATTTTTATTTTTATAAAAAAAAACACATGAAATATTAAATTGTTACAGATAGAAGCCTCTTAGTATTTTAAATTACTTACGTCAAGATCATATAAATTAAATTTGAATATGTTTCGGTGTTCTGAAATTATAAAAACAGGTTTTACAATGTCATTTTCACTAACATTTTGAACGTCATCGATAAGAGGATAGTTAAAGGTATCAGAAACTCCACGTCTGCGGAGAAATTTAATTGTGAGACCTTTTTCTTTACTATCCCCACTATCAACTTTTAAAATTTGACCTATATAATGAACAAATGAGCAATTGCGATCTATCAAAAATTTTACAATAACATAGTCTTTTGTTTTAAAATCCCTGGATTTCTTTTCATTATCTGCATGGTCTTCAGAATATTCACTCAGAACTTCTTCTTCTTCTTCTTCTTCTTCTTCTTCTTCTTCTTCTTCTTCTTCTTCTTCTTCTTCTTCTTCTTCTTCTTCTTCTTCTTCTTCTTCTTCTTCTTCTTCTTCTTCTTCTTCTTCATGTAGGGAGTGGTCACTTTCTTCATAAATAACCTCGTCGTCGTCATCTAATGATGAAGAAGAATCACTCCCCGTTTCCTGCTTCTTTTCTTAGCAACAGCTGTAGTTTTGGAAGTGCTTGACTCACCAAATACTTGCTTCTTTGTAGTTTTCATTATCTTTGCTCTAGTATTCTCTTCAATCTCATTTTTTTCTGGTGTGTCAGTTAATATTCTGGTGCGGCCCGGTTTTCGACCACCAGTTCTCTTTTTTCTAGGAGCTGCTAGTGGGAAAGGACGAACCAATTCGGGAGAAACAAATTTAGCACCCGTATCATCAACATGTTCCGAAGATGGTCCAGCGATTGCTAAATTCTCGACTTTCTCAGCATTGTTAAGCACATTATTTGGAAGTGGGCGATCGGTCACAGAAGAAGACAGAAAATCAATATCTGTAAAAATATCGGGGTTAAATGGATAAATCCCTGTTTTGGAGAAGCCACTTTCTATATTCGATTTACTGAAGGCCGGAGAATAAGCTTTTCCAACTAATTCTGCAATTTCATAAATGGTAATAGTTTTCCCAGGGTTGTTCATCATCCATTTATCTGCTTCATTATTATAAAATCGTTTAAATGCATAAAATACAGACACATCTAGTGGCTGCAGTCTGCTGCTGCAGTGCGGTGGCAAAGTAAGTAAATGTATTCCATTTTCTTTTGAAAAATTGATAACATCTATTGAAATGTGGCTTTCATGGTTATCAAAAATTAAAAGCACAGGTTTTTCTTTAGACGGATTTACGTTTGCAGCAAAATGTTTAATGTAGTCCAAGAAGATAGGTGCTGTCATCCAGCCTGATGGTGACGCCCTACCTGCAGATCCATGTGGAGCATTTTTCAGCATATATTCCTTAAAGTTAACTCTAGGAAAAATAAAGAAAGGCGGAACTGAGTTTCCGATAGCGTTTATGCTGCAGCAAACCGTGACTAGGGACCCCCTCTCTGCAGAAGTTACTTTGCCAACCTGTTTTCTTCCTTTTTCTGCCACTATTTTACCAGGGTTTTGGACAGTAGTGACCCCAGTTTCATCTGCATTATACAGTTGCGAAGGATCAAAGTTGTATCGTCCATATAAAGATTCTAGCTTTTCAAAAAATTCAGATACATTTTTTCTGTTGAAGCTTGTAGCTCGAGAGAGGCTTGTCGCCTCAGGCTTTCGCAACGAAAGGTTTGGATGCCTGTTGAAGAAACCTAAACACCAAAATTTCCCAGCTGCTTTATTGGTTTGCCAAGTTTCTGGAACATTTTTATTATTAGCAATGGCAAACTGATAAGCGAGCTCCTTCGTTTGCTTTAAATCTAATCCGTAATGCATATAGCTGGCTCTAATTAAATAGTCTGCTAATTGAGTTTCTTCTGCCTTTGTGAAAATCTGTCTGCTTGTATGCACAGAACCAAAAGTGGAGCTATCTGGAATATTTCTTTTTTTTATGTATCTGGCAAGAGTTGACTTTGGAATCTCATAGTCTTTTGCAGCTGTTCTTATGGATTTTTTGTTGTCCACAATATCAGAATAAGCTCTTTGAATAACATCTTTACTTATTATTTTACGTGGTTTTCGTTTCAGTTCTGTGCCTGTCTTTTTTTTATAAATGCTTGGCATTTTCCTAATCTGAAAGAGAAACAATAACAAAATTTACAAATTTAATAGTTTGAAACTGGAAAATAACTAGGCATTGAAAAACCCAGTTGGTATGTTTGGGACATATAGTAGGTATGTTTGGGACGTCCTAAACATACCTACCATCTTGTGTCCCTAACATACCTACCAAACAACTAATATTTTAACGGCCGATTTCAAATCTCTAGGTTATGTTTATCAAGCAACACTCTAAACATGATCTCTAGCAATGAGACAATAAAATCAGGACTTACTTACCAAACAGTTTCAGAAGCTTAGTTCCTAATCACAAAAAAAACTTAAACACGAGAAACTTTACCATTAACTTCACGTAAAAATAAAATGCACACCTACTGCGTTTGGCAAAGCTCTCAAGTATGAAACTTTGTTCAGTAGTTCATTGTAATGGTGGTAACATTGTGACAGAAAACTAGCGCGCTAAATTTAAAATTTTTTATATAAATTTAAATGTCCCACACATACCTACGTCCCAAACATACCTACACTCCCCTATAGGAATCATGATTTTTTTCGACCTCCAGTTTTCGACGGATTTTTACGTTTTGGGGTCCCCTGAATCCGTTTTGACTATTTTCGGAATGATGTGTGTGTGTGTGTGTGTGTGTGTGTGTGTGCGTGCGTGCGTGTGCGTGTGTGTGTGTGTGTGTGTGTGTGTGTGTGTGTGTGTGTGTGTGTGTGTGTGTGTGTGTGTGTGTGTGTGTGTGTGTGTGTGTGTCTGTATCCACCATAACTCATATTTTATGGAGTATATCTGTTATTTATGTTTGGAGAAGAAAATTGTTCAAATAAAAGTTACTTCTAATATGGTCCGTATTCGAGAAATTTGACAAAATGTGCAAAATTCTGATTTTTAAGAAAATTGTTAAACTAAAAGTTGTTTGTGATATCGATCTCTATGATTTTTGTTTTTACATGATTTTTCGAAAATGGACCGTAATGGAAAAATTGGAGGAAGAGTGCTAAATTTAAATTTTTTAGTATTTTCGTTTTCAATGAATATCTGTAGAAAAATGTTTCGAGTTAAATGTATGTGGAAAATGTATATATTTAGTTTATTCTCTAAACATTTATAGAGGTGCTACAATAGTTTGTACAAAATAACCGGAAAAAGCCTATAATAACTAGATAGGAAAGTGTTTGAAATGTTATGTCAAAAATAAGGTATTTTCTTAATTTTTTTTTCGCTAATTTTAATTGGACACTTGGAATCACCGCGAATTTGTAATAGCATGACATAGTATAAATCTAATATAGTACTTTACATAAATGATCCCTTAGTGATCCTCATAAGCCCTTAATATATAAAAAAATTAAAAAAACTGTTAATTTATGGTGTTTCTAAAATGTAAGTTTTGTAAATAAAATTGTATTTTTAAGAAAAGGGCGTCTTCTCAATATTTACTTTTTCCAAATTAACTTGCCTAACTATTACATATTTAAATAAATATTAATTAATATTATTTTTAGGAAAACGGTACCGAAACGTCAACAAAGATCAAATTAATAGCTTGGCAACTAGCAGCACTGCACTCACCCGTTTTGGACCTTGCATATTTTCTCTATTTTACTTATACAGAAGAAACCAACGAAAAATTTGAAGATTACGTGGAATACTACTACAACGAATTCTGTGATTGTATGTTAAAGTGCGACAGCGATCCCCAACAATTATTTCCTTTCACAAGACTTCTAGAACATTTTTTGAAGTATTCCCCTTATTGTTTAATTTTGGCTCTGGTCGGAATACCTTTTATAATGATCAATAGTTGTTTAAATAATAATATTTGTATTCGAGAAAATCGAAACCATTTCGAAGATCCTGAAATGAAAGAAAATTGTGAATATTGCAACTGCAACTATGAGTCAATGAAATATGTCAATCTTAAAGAGGAACTCAGGAATAGTATTAAGGAAAAAATCCTTGGTATTCTTGAGTTACATTATAAGTACTTTAGGGTATAGTTTTTAAAAGGCAGTGTAAAGTTATGACTTTTGTAATTTTATTATAAGAGTATTTATTTACAAAACGTTTTTAAATTTGTTTTATAGTAATATAAAACCTAAAATGTTACATATCTCAAAAGTAAGTATATGTTTCTAATTTGACTTTCAAACTAAATTTGAGTCTGACATATCGCTTATTTGCTGCAAGAACGTCTTAACACAAAAATGTTGTTTTTAGAGAATGAAAATTTTTGAGAATACCGGCATAATTCAAAAATTAGTGCTTCAACAAAATTGAAAGGGTACTTCTTTATACAGAAACAACGACACTTCCGTAGTTATGGTGGTATTCGTTTGACGTCGCTACTTCAATTGACATTTTTCAAGTTTAAGTATGTTAAATCAATGAATTAAAGTTTTTTTGAGTTGTGTCGGTATTCTCGTAAATGAGCTAGGAGAGTAATAAAATAGTAATTTGGCCTAATCGAGTAACGTATTACAGCAAAAATATTGTCAAAGTAGATATTCAAGAGACGATATTGAAATTGTAGCATTCAGATTAGAGGAAAACCTTTGTACCGATTTAAGTGACATCTAATGAGAATTATAAAAAGTTCAAATGTGACACTACCAGATAATAGTGCTTTTCTTTACGATCTGTATTGTACAAATAACTCAAAAATTACAATTTTTAATTTATTCTTGCAGAAAATGAGAGATATATTGCTTACAAGATACAGATGATGCCGTGTTGCATTTCTAGAATCTTCTTTTGCATCCTGTTCTTATTTCCCAGGGTGAACTTCGCTTTGGTTTTCCCTTGGAGGTGTGTTCTTGATTTGGATAGTGAATAAATGCTTAAAAACGACGAGGATCTTCTAAAGGACTCTTCTACTATCCTACTGACTGTGCCAATTGCGAGTTTTTACTTTAAAACTCACTTTTTAAAAATTAATCATTTAATTTTTGAAAATACCTTTAATAATTTTTTTTATATTAGAACTGCAAAGTAAAATATATATCAGACTAAAAATAATAATGATTACCAATCTTTTTTAATAAAAATAAATGCTGACATTGGACGTTATCCGGCTATGGTTGTGTCGCTAAACCTTTGACTATGTGGAATGTGATGAGCTGATGAGTCGGCAAGTCAATGTTCTGTAACTTGTTAAAAAATCTTTATTTAAAGTGTCTTTGATTCCTTATAACAAAGATACAGGGTGATGTATTAATTTTGCTTATTTATTTAATTATTTATAAACCTCACTGTATATTTTTTCATATTTACTACATATATTCTTTATCTATAGTCTATTTTTATGTATGAGAGAGTAATAAAATAATAAAGCGTTCGTAATCCATAGGCGTAGCACTTCTTTTAGTAGACAGTTAAAATATTTTTTGAAGTTATTCCTCGAGTATACACTTATATTTTCACCTAATTAACCTACTTATAACTTCTAAACAGCTGAACGTAAAAAAGTGCAATTTTCTCTAAAATGTTTTATTTTTCCACAAGGTATGTTAAGAACATTGTGTCAAACGGGTTATGTAGGTATAAGGGTTTAAACTTTGACTTCTAAACAACGTTACGTTCATAAATAATAATTTTAATATAAAAACTACTTCTTACCTACAAATCCAAATCAGAATCGAAATCAGAAGATGAACTGTCGCAACCAATATTTACAATGAGTGGCTTGATCATTTCATCAGTAATATTGTCCAACTTCCACATTTTCTCTTCTTCTTTAATCGTATGATTTACTGCCTTTTCCCAGTTTTCAGGCTTCACATTATTTACAGCCGCCAAAAACAACTGTTTAACATCACTCATTTTTTTTAAACTTCTCCCTTTATCTGTGCCCATATCAGTTCAATCGGGTTTACTTCGCAATGATATGGTGGTGATCTAACCACCGTCATCCCACGATTTTTTGCAATTTCATCAATTTCATATTTTTTGAATTTCTCTTTATGAAGGGAACACAAATGTTACAGTTATTTTCTCACAGAACCGGGATGGAACTTAATATTCTTTGAATTTAGCCAATTCTGTAAATCTTTTTTTAACCACTTGGTTGTGGGCATTTTTTCTATAAGTCTCGAGTGATAACTTGCATTATCCATTACTATTATATAGTTCTGAGGAAGAAGATCTATAATTTGTTCGAACCACTCTTTAAAGACATCAGCATTCATGTCTTCATGGTAGTCACCGGTACGAGTAGATTCAAAAGTCAATAAACCACCTTTAACAAAACCGTTTGAACTACCGATGTGTACTATTATTAGTATGCGCCCCTTTCCTGATGGTGGATTTAAACCAGTAGATAAATTATTTAAAAAAGCCTGTCTTCAACTTGTAACAGTTTCATCTTGCCAAAATTTATTTGGTTTATGTTCCTCGTTGATCCATGTTTCATCTAAATAAAATATATTCTTCTTTGGTTTCTCATTTCTTTTAGAGTCCTTAGGTAATTTCTTCTCCATACTACAATATCACTTCTTTCTATTAAAATAGACTTTCTGGAATGCTTTTTCCATAGAAAACCTATTTCTTTTAAAAGTTTCCATAGTGTGCTTCGACTCATTTCAGGGTAATCCTTATCATCTCGAACCGTGGCAAGAACTTTGTCTACTGTCGGAAATTCTTTTCTAAAGAAGAACGCATGCACTTTCCTTCGAAGTCTTTCTTTCAAAAGATTTTCTAATTGAAATTTTGGTTTTCCTGGAGCTTTACGTGCTGTTTGAAACTCGCCACATTTCTCTTCTTTAACAACTCTGTAAATCGTAGATTTCCCAACACCAAGCGTACTACTAACTAATTCCACTGTGTCATCAACACTTTTACATAAATGTTTGTCTGTAAATGATTTAAAACAATTAAATATTAATGTTTTTTCATTAACTGTTAAAGGACCGATTTTTTGTCGTTTACGCGGCCCTTCCAAATTATCCATGATCACACTAGAATTCACATTGCACCTTGCAAGTTGCAACTAAACGACATTTAGTAAACTGTCAAGAATACACAACTTGGACCTCCTTACTAAATGGAAAACCTTTAATCGCATTTTCGGTTAAATTTGTTGGGAAGATATTTATCTACTTATAATTTGATTACTGTAAGAAATTCTTGGAATTAAAATAAAACAAAATTGGCAAATAGGTACTTATTGAAAATAATCTTAAGATGTAATCTTTAATACACAAGGCTTTTGGCCTGTCCAAACCTTTTTCTATTGTTCTATACAGCTTATGTTTATAAAGGACCCCAATAGAAGACCCAAAACTTGTAATAGCTCAGGTACATTTATTACAATTTTAGGAAATATTTAGATTATTCTGTAAAAATATTTAAAATGACCGTACTAAGTTTTGCATTAGAAATGCTGTTTTATTACTCTCTCATACATAAAAATAGACTTTAGTATGTTACCGAATAGTGTATAAATAAAAGTTGAAATCCAGGTCCGAACTAACATAAAAAATTACAATTTTTTTTATTCACTTCGAAACAATGCCCTGTATATCAGAATTTTAAAAAGTTGTTTTCATATTTGCAAAAAAGCAGAAAAATTCTCTCTCTCTTTTTGGTTTGCCCTCGAAAATAACTGTTGTTAATTAAATTTATTAAATATTAGTCACTAGTATTAACATAATACAAATAAGAAAAATGTCATATTCTATAAATTGTTTACCTTTATTTTAATTTAAATTATTTACAATACCTTGACTTTAAAAAAACTAATTTCAAAACGTTTAAGAAGCTGAATATAAAAAAAAATCCATATGAAGGTCCAACCTATTAACCCTATTATATTTAAAAAAATCTTTACTCGTTTTCCTCAATTTCATACTCTTTTCTGGCTTCTCCTGTGGGATCGTATTTCTTGCACAAATCAAAGAACATTGCCCGGTGATATAGAAGAAGGTCATGCAAGATATATGCAGCTTGTTTTTTCTGGGCTTCATTGCATTTACTACATTTTGTTGCGATAGCATCTGGCATAATATCTAAAACGAAAATAATTTTTAAAGTTATTCAAATTAGTAGAAAATCATACATATAACTACTAATTTAAAAACGGTAGAATAGTTCAAAAGATTATAATAATATATCGAACGCTTTCCAATACGTTTTGCATAAGTACATAAAAAATTACAGCAAATAAATAATATCAGCGATGCCAGGTTATGTAGTCTTGCCAAAGATAAAACGCTACAACACCATAACTTTATTATTTTTTTTATTTATTTATTATAAACCCCTCTATCATTTACACTTATCAAAATCCTGTTAACAGTGTTTTCTCAAAGTTTAATTTGATTGGACTATCATCATATATTTAGGAAATTAGCATAATTATTTCCTAAGTCAATAAAAAAAATTTACGATCAAATATCTAGGCTTCTCAAATTAATTACGTAAATGTGAATTCCATGAAGATATTTTTTCTGGTAATTTTGATGTCAACTTTGTTTATGCAAAATAAGTATAAGTGACACATTAATTTAAATAATTAGTAACAAATAAACTAATTATGTTCCTGCTATAATGTTTGTATTGATAGACTTGTTTATTATTTGGTATTAATGAAAGATTAGAATACAAATATCTTGCAATTAGATCGAAATAACACAAAGCTGTATATTTCTTATGTAAATGAATACAAATAACAATTTTTATATTTAAATATCTAATACGAGAGTAACTCTGTAAATTCTAATATTTATGCACTTTTTTATTATTTAGTATTACGATTATTAATAACATGACATGACAAAAATCGTACTAAAATATGTTCAAAATTGACTCCAACGTTAATAATTCGTTAATAATTCGTTAATAATTCGTTAATAATTCGTTAATAATTCGTTAATAATTCGTTAATAATTCGTTAATAATTCGTTAATAATTCGTTAATAATTCGTTAATAATTCGTTAATAATTCGTTAATAATTCGTTAATAATTCGTTAATAATTCGTTAATAATTCGTTAATAATTCGTTAATAATTCGTTAATAATTCGTTAATAATTCGTTAATAATTCGTTAATAATTCGTTAATAATTCGTTAATAATTCGTTAATAATTCGTTAATAATTCGTTAATATTTTGTTAATTCGTTATATAAGGTAAATTATGTTTTAAAGCATATAAATAATTCAAGATCATAAATACATATAAACCACTCACTAAAAAAAACACTTATCATAAGAAAACAGTTAACTAGCGGCAAATAAACCAAAACTATTTAGTAGCGTAAAGTGTACCTATAGTAAGAAACTAATGTACACTAACCACAAGTAAACTGTTCACTAACCACAGGTGACAAATTTCAGATATCTTGTTTTACTTACTATAAGTAAACAATTTATCTGTCCCATTATAGTATACAACTTTTGATTTGCAGTAAGTAAAAGGTTAGTTATTTTTTTCCTGTATAACTTTCTTTCTTTATTTCTTGCGTTGATACCGAGTTCACTACACCTAAATCCTTGTGACTTTTTGTTTCTACATTTACTTTTGTATTTTTTAAAAATCTATTTGAAAAATTTGTTTATTTTAATAACCTATAAGTACACAGTTAAAAATAGAAATATTAACTTTGGGATCATCCTGTATAAGTATAATAAGAAACTTGATTTTACATGAGTGCCAATCCCAATACTGTTAGGTAAGTGACACACGTTATATCCTCGCTATTTATTTAATATATTTATTTGTTCTTGGAACTATTATAGTAAAATGAAAAGTGCTAGTATGCGTTGATTGAATTCAAGGTACGTAGCTAAGGTGTTAACTGTTTTAATAAACAAGTAAAGTATAAATTGTAGTTTAATATCTTATAGATGACTTTAAATCTTGTAATTTCTTCTGTTTACTAAATGTTTAAATATGTTTGTAAGTAAGTTATACATATTTGCGTATTATTATCAAAGAAAAATAAGTAGGATATAAAAGGTGGAAGAAATTAATTTAAAAATCTCAAAGATCTAAGCATACGGGATAATACGGTGCAATAATACACTCGAAAATCGAATTTTCCATATGTTATCCCCAAGAGCCACTTGTAAATTTCCTTTCATTTTACTCAACATCGATATGCTTATCAACCCTCTTCGAGGCTTGTATGTGAAAATGGGACACCTTAATCGATTACTGTTCTAAAAAAATCACTTTTTTATGTCTCAATACAATTGAAAAAAGGAGTCACTCATTACGATGCTTTTTAACAACAGTATAACACGAATATCGTATTAAAAATATTATTACCTAACTCTGTATCAGATTACAGGAGTTCAATGCATTATCTTTCTTTTCCTCGTTTAGATAACATACAGGGTGATCATCCTATACTCCGGAGTTTGATATATCCGTTGTTTTGAGGAATACGAACAAAAGTTTTGAATACAAATTATAGATAGAGTCCAGCTCCACATTTTAAAATTATTTCGTAATATATGTTTCCCTATATGTTATCTCGAATTTGAATTTTGTTCATTTTCCCCATTTCGGCAATATAGAGTTTTACCAGGTTCTACAAGATACTTTTATAAAGAAATTGCCACTTTCATGTAAAAATCTTAATGAAATCGTCACCCCGTATTATTTAGAATCAACAATTGAGGGTTACTATCTCACGGACAGAATAATTTCGTAGTAGTCTAGTACTGTTGCAACTCATCATATTTTTAATATCTTTCATTTTGTATACAGGGTAACCCAAAACTCATGTGGTGAAATTATTGTACATTTTGGTATTATCATACATTGTACAGAATACCAAAATTTTCGTATGAAACGATAATTATCGTACACCTGGCAACATTGCTTAAAGCATCTATCATCACTCATCGAGGAAGATATCTTAGACATGTACACCAATATCTATAATCGATCATCGATCATCGATCATCGATCATCGATCATCGATCATCGATCATCGATCATCGATCATCGATCATCGATCATCGATCATCGATCATCGATCATCGATCATCGATCATCGATCATCGATCATCGATCATCGATCATCGATCATCGATAAACGATAAACGAGCATCATCATTAAAGCATCTTTGGCATGTACACACCCTTACAGCAATTATAGCATCCTGCTAGATCGAAACAATTAAGTCAGACCAGAGCCAACTACATAAATCCCAAGCTTATTTTCATTATGTTGTATGCACTTTAATATCATTGAAAGACTTTACTAGACATTAGGTAAAATTACTACAACTTCGTGTTATCTGCAAATTCATTACGCAATTTTTTTGGCAATCTACAAAATGTCTTATACTAGGAAGAAAAATACTACAGAAAGAACAAAATGGAAAAAATAAGTTTTAAAAAAGAAATTCACATTTTCTGAGGATTACAGTAGTGATGTAGTTTGGTGATTTTCAAAGCACTTTCTCTGATAATTGTGAAGACGAAATAGAAGAGACGAATCAGGAAATCGGCTTCTTAAATCAAATGCAGTTGGACTTATCAAAACTAGATGTTGGTGACTGGATTGTGGTCAAATTTAAGCAGGAGAAAGCCATAAAAATGTATGTGGGACAGCTGACAGAAAAAGAACCATGCCAGGAGGCAACATTTTGTCGCAGATTTGGTAAAACGTCGAGCTTTTACTCGCCTGTTGTTGAGGACAAAAGCATCATAGAAAAAGATGAAATCTATATGCATTTACCCACGCCGTCCATAACTAAAAGGGACAAAATAATATTTAGTGTAAATTTTGATAGCTATAACAAAGGCTAAATTTGTTATATATTTTTTTAAATAAAGGATTTTTCTTACGCACATGAAACTTATTTTTACACTTTTCCCATCAAAATTAAATACACTCTTAATATAAAAATGAGCCGAAGGTTCCACTTACCTCATGCACGTGGGGCAAGTGGAACCTATGCAGTGTCAAAATAAAAAAAATAGGAAGAAAAAAGTTGGTCCGTTAGGTGAAATTTTTTTTTGCATTTTCGGACTCAGAATTATCGGAAACATGAAAAAAGTTTTAAAAAATGGGGATAAGAAAATTTTTTCGTCTGCACGAATGCAATAATGAGGCCCTATAGAAAGTGTCTCAGTAATTGACGAAGTAATTTGCAGATCAATAACAATAAATTTAATGTTTGTTACATTATTAAAAAACATATTATGCTACATAACTATGAAAGATTTTATTTCTGCAACAAATAAACACATTCATCCGCCATTAAAACTAAGTAATGTACAACAAATCAATTAAACAAAACATTGGTTATTAATTAACAAACTTAATTATTTTTGTAGGTATTTGAAAAGTGGCAACAACTAGTCAACTATTGAACAACACTTTATTTTTAAGACATTTGTGGTTGCTATTGATGTGAACACAATGTATTTAGATACTCATTTTTTTTTTCAAAATTGTTACAGGTGTAAAAATTTTTATTCATATTTCCTTTTAAAATTATTACTTGTTATATACTGTAGATATTTATTGGAAAACCTTTGGTAATATCCGAATTAAATACCTAATTTTTATAATTGGGCTTACCTTTTAAAAACTTTCCTTCCGATGGACAAGGTAATCGATCCATTAAACAATCTACGTATCTTTTTAACAATCTATCATTAGCCAAAATTTTTTTAACATCGAAATTATCATATTTGGTCGAATATCCTTGACCGTTCGCTACTTCTGTTGCTCTACCTTCAAGTTCAATGACGGTCGTAGCAAGAATGACAGAAGAAACATATAAAAGAGTCGTTTTCATTTTTATTAAAGTAATAAAAGTGATCTTTACAATTTACAACTAATTTAAATGATTTTTATCATAAACATGTAGGTACTTACTGCGTGTAATAAAAGTAGGTTGAAATTCAAGGTAGACAGGGAAAGTTTAATGACTATGTTGCATCTCATTGCAAGTTTGGATACAATTTTCTTATTATTAATACAGGGTGATTTGTAGGTATGCGAGGATAGCATATTGTAATGAATTATGACTAACAATATCGTAAAACACAGTGTGTAATGAAATTTATAAAATTATTAAACCAGAGGATTCTAATAAGTTGTGGAAACATTTTAAAACAAAAAAGAAATCCTCCTACTCTTGAGGCTTTCCATTTATCAATCTATCTTGAATTTAAAATGTTCCTAATGAATGAAAGATAATGATGATAATTTAACTTGATATTCACGGCTTCCTATGTTCGCCAGCTTTATACCAGTGCGACCAGGATTATTTTAATAAACACATTTTCAAAGAAGATATCATCCTTTGTTGAGAAGAAACAATGTTTTCAGTTTCTGATCTAGCTATTTATTGAAGAGCCTGAAAGAATAATGGAGTTAACAATATTTTTATCTCCGATAACTTGTAGGGCATTATTAGCAGCTATAATTTCATCTGTACAAATTTGAGCTTGTAAAGGAAGCTTATTTGAGAATGCACAATCTATAACTGGAATGTATCCTCTAAATCCAGAGTGACGTGAAGGGTTTATATCTATTGAGCTATCCTTACAGAACCTAGTGTAAGATGGATATTTCCTAATGATATTCTGGTATTGATACTTTAAGATTTGATAGCATCAATGTTTGCAATAGGAATAGAAACTAATTGAGGTTGAAATTAAAATTATAGAAGTATACAATTTAGGGCGGAGGTAATTTGCCCACAAAATATTTAAAGCTGCTAATCCTATAGGTAATTTGCCCACAGCAAGTAAAAGGTCATCTTAATCCTGTTGGTATTTTGCCCAAATTTATTTCTAACTGAATAAATCATAATAGATATATCTTTCATTTATTATTTTTTATATATTATCGAAAAGTAAAAACACATTATTAATTAAACTAAAAATTATATTAAACACTAATTTTTATTATTATAAAAAAGTAAGTATACATAAGTTATATTATATTTTTTATATATTTATATTTTATTTACATATTTTTCAACTGGGAGGGATAAATGTGATACAAATTTTATATACTCTAATCTGCTGATTTGCTGCTGATCAAATCGCTGTATAAATTTTTCTAAACACAGAATTTTTTGTTTTACACTTTTGTCTTTGATTTTCTTAGGTATACTTAAGCTTTGTATTGTGACATACGTGTCGATTTGAAAGTCTTTAAGCTTTTCTATAAAAATATATACAGAAGGATGTGTACAGTAGAATGAAGAATTAAACCTTGAATGAAACGACTCACAGGCATTTGTAGTTCTTGTAATTGAAGCTGTTTTTTCTGCCCATATACTTGGAGGAAATGTAGAATTTTCTTCAATATATGTTTCTAATAGGTAATCGGCATACCTATCGAGAACGGCATTTTCTGGTTTACTTGCCATTAAGTCAAACACAAAACAGTCTCCAACTTCATCGGCGTTTAAATATGTCAACCCAAATGATGTTTTAAGCCATTTTCCGGTATCACTGTTAGTTGTATATTCAGTCATTAATCCCAGAGACTGAATTTTACGATACCACGCTTGATGTAGATGAAATCGGCAGCCATTGATTACAGTATTAGGCCACATATAAATTAACGCCTTATGAATTGCTATTTCAAAATCAATGAACACATTAGATGGATTTAAAGCAATACTACAAGTTTCCAAAATTTTATAATGCAATAACGAAAACAAATGTTTGTATATATCGGTAGATTTGTTTGGTAATAAACAATATACCAGGGGCACATAGTGTCCATTACACAGCCCATGAATGGTAAATAATTGTAGGAAAAACTTTGTACAATACGAAAATGTTCCATCCATATACAAGACGTTCATTTTACACAAAGTACGAATATTTGTCTCACATGTAAATACAATAATATTATTTTCTCTGCTATTTATTAAAAGAAAATGTTCACCTTTACTGGTTTTAAATGTATTAGAATATAAGTCAACTGCATCATGCACTTCTTGTATATTTGTAGGTAATGGACCTGGTAGTATTTTGCGACGACTGTTGTATATAGTTTTTCTTATGTAGGACACATCAATTGTAGTTAGTGACTCTGGTAAATTAGTAGCAAGTACTTTACGGATAATTTTAGAAGGTTTTTCCGAAATATCATCAACTGCTTTTCGCTTACACGAATTAGAAATAATTTTCCTGTTTAATTTCGGTTCATTTGCTTCATGGCTATGAATTAGGTTGCCTCTGCATACTAAAAGTTCAGGACCAATTGTAAATACAGTGGCATTACAAGCATTTGTTTTTCTTTGGGAGCATCTCCAAGAAACTTCTCCACTTTTCATTTCTCTATCTTTGGCAAACGTAAAATTCTCCAAAAGGAGTACATCTTTCCCGCGTGTGCTTTTAATCAATGTAGCTGACATTATAGAAATAATTATTGTTTATAAACACTCGAATTACAATCATCAACGTATAAAAACTGACTGAAATATAAACAGTAAACACCCAAAGTAAGTACCTATTAGAATTATTAATAATCATGTAGGTACCTATTTGTGGGCGTATGTAATTTGCGGGTTTAGGTACCTGAATGCTACTGTGGGCAAAATACCAGTAAGATTAACGCACCCCTTTACTTACACAGGTAGAAAACAGAGATTTGTGGGCAAAAAGGACCCGCCGACAATTTAGAAATCAAGAATGATAAGCTGAATTAGTAGATTATAATAACGACACACAAACTAGACATTGGACCATGGGCTACGTTTTTAAAATGAGTTTAATCCTAAGCAATTGTTGAACAGTGTACTTCAAAAAGAAAAAAGTTTTTTGCCTTGATAAATATTTTGACTCAGTTTTTAGCATTTCTGTGTACAATTGAATTGAAACGTCTAGTTTATTAATTTGTGGATCCTGAAAATGCTCTCTTTTAATTTATTAAACGAAAATGGTATTTTCAGAGAAACAGCGTATCGAAGTTTAATATTGTTGGGATGTGGGAATAGAACCTGAAATCAAAGTAAAGTGGGTAATGTTGTAGTTGACGGGTCTAGAAATGCGCATATTCACACCACTCTGCACTGACGTCTAGAATTTGAATTTGCTCAAGCCACGTTGCCAAATCTCCACTTTCATTTTAGCTTGCTTTATTTCATAGTTTATTATTTAGACAAATTGTAAACTCTGTAAATTAAAATGTATGATAAATAAATATAAAGATTTATATTATATTTTGAAATAACAATTCTGTTTTGTTTTATAAGACAGTTTTGATAGATTTTAAATTTAAATTTTGTAATTATCACTATTGAAAGGTATTATTGCCATTAAAAATAACGATCGTATTACTTGAAAATCTTTAGAATTTTTTTATTTTTATGAGATTTTTAATCAATGTAAAAATTGGTAAATAGATGATTAAAAGTGAAATAGTTATTTCAATCTGCTTATCCCCTGATTCCAAATAATTAAATATAACCTGGCAACTATGTAACGATTCCAACTGACAGAACTAGTCGGAACAGCAATGGTGCGGACAGGCGCATTTCCAGACCCTTCAACTACAACATTAAGGGTAGTGTGTACTTTAAGTAATCCAAAATATCCATAGAAATAGTATAGAAAGCCGATTCCATATATCAAAAATGAAACCATAAGGAGAAAATAGTGTGTCGGAGCTCATGCGTATAACGGTGCTGGCGCGAACAGGACCGGTGCAAGTTTTCTATTGATCGAACAAATAGTTCACACATTTCAATCATACATTTTTAGAGATGATTCTATACAAAAAACGATTAAAAAAATTTCAAGTTAAGGTAAATATGGTTCTGACAGTCCTTATTAAGAAAGATATGGCATAAAATATGAATTAGTTAATTTTCGGCAATCATTAGTACAGTAGTCATGAGATTTTGCTTGTGATTTTAAAAATACTTTCCAGAAAAACCACGTGCTCCGGTTTTGACTACGTTTATTATTAAACAGCGAAATTATATACAAAAACTTTAATCCACAATCTAAATTAGGTACTATCACAAGAAAATCACTGTTACAATAATTAATTACTTAACCAAAAACTAAAATACTTTTTAGGTACCTACGTAACCAGAAAGGAGCTGGACTATTTATCCTAATATTGATTTTCTCTCTCCCTACGGTAAAACTTAAAACAATAACAAATTGCCTATCTACTAGGGTCGGTAACTAACCGAATATACATAATGGGCGGATTTTGTTTATACTTAACATTACACTCGCGCATTTAAATATAACTATGCATATAAATATTTACAAACAAAGATACTTTTCCAAACAGGCAATCATTAGTACTGTAGTCACGAGGTTTTACTTGTGATTTGACATCTTATTTGATAATATCATTTGCAACAACTAAATTTAATCTGGGGAGTGCAAAATAGGGCCCAGGAATATTATGTTCGATATTTTTTTACATTTTGTCAGCCGAGACTATGAGTCGTTAGACAGAAAACCTTTCATGTTACCATTTTCAATATAAATTAAAAAATTAAAAAATACTACTACATTTACTTGGTACATATTTTATTTTAATTTTGAACCCTTTTAAACGGGTCTTTCGGTTCCATAATAAAAATTAGTTGCTGCTTACTATGATTGTATATTATCTATAATTTGCCACAACTTACAACTCTACTACTTACTCTATTTTGATGCTAAAAACTAGTAAGGTAAAATTGAGATATGACAACACGGTTCACTCTAAAGCATTATTTGTTTGAATTTAGAAACATTCTATATAGCCTAAACCAATTTATAGTTTGTTTTCGATCAATTTAATACAAAGATTTAAAGTTTTTAGTCGATGATAACATTCTACACCAGCACATTGCAAACCTATTTTATAAATAATAGGAATAAACTTGTAAATCATTAATTTGGTAGTTATCTCACTCATATGATTTTTTTGTTTATATGAC